TAGCAGGCCTGGATGGATATAAAGGAGCGGAAAGAAGGCAGATTTGCTGCTGCTTCTGTGCTACGTCGCTGCTCTTCTGCCTTCTGTCCTGCCGTGGGCTGTTTCTCCTTCATCAGGTCCCTCTGCCGTGACACCGTGACTTGGAGCCAGCCAATGAACTGAAACCTCTACACACTGTAAGCTAAGTAAACTTTTCCTCCTTTAACTGTGGGTGTTGGATTCTCTTGCCTCACCAATGAGAAAAAAGTAACTAAGATAGGCAATCAGAGAAAGCAGACTTGAGAATAATGAATATTTCTAAGAGTAAAAAGGTGATGTGTAATTCACTAAAAATAACTATTTGTATATCCAGTAACGGAATTTGAACCTAAATGGAGCAAAATCTGAAATGTAAAGGAAAAAAGAGAAAACCCCAAAAGTATAGTTGGAGATTTCAATATTCTCTTTCATTAACTGAAAGAACATGTGATGGAAAATCCATAATAATAGAGAAAACAATGAGTGTAATTGGTATTTATAAAACAGCTTTGATTTATAAAAAGTCCAAGTGTGAGAGTTTGAAACAATAATTGATTAAAAGAAACATGGTAACTAATTTAATTGAATATTGAAAAGAAATAGAATGTGAGGAAAGATAGAATGATCACTGGAGAGGAAAGCAGGATGGAGAGGGTTGTTTTTTAGGGGGGATTTGGGAAGTCTGGGTTGCTAGGAAGATCCAGGAAAGTGGAAGCAAGGAAAGAGTCTCGTCTGTCAAAGCGTCTCAGAGAGAGGGCAAGTTTCCTGCCCCAGAACACTGGGCCTTAGGAGGAGGTAGGAGTCTGTCTCCCAGGGTTGTAACAGGACCCAAGGGAGCACAGTGACAGGACCCAGTTTTGGCAAGTTTGAGATCTAGGGGGCAGCAAGTTGCAGGCGGTCCTGTCAGAAGTCTGATATTTTCTGTCAGCTGTGTGCTGAGGTGGTCTCCTGAGCGTGGGGTGAAGATGCTTGGTAAACAATCAGAGAAATTGTGAAATTTGGAGGAGGGAAAGGGAGGAGCACTGAAGCCCTGCTGGAGGTCACACATTTACGTCTACACAGCCCTGGGGTTCTTTGCACCGATTCTGCAGCAGCAGCAGGGGACCATGAATGGCTGGACAGCTGCACGCATGCAGGCTCCGGGACAGGGGGACTGGGGCCAGCTAGCTGAGGACTCCGGCAAGAGGATGAGTTCAGGGGTGAACGCTGCAGGCTGAGCTGGAGAGGAAGAGATGGGCAGGGCCCAGAGACCTCTCCCGGGCGGAGAGTGGGACTGGAAGACAAGGAGTCTGGCAGGAAAGAACTGGCTCCCCGAAGTAGTGGATGGAAGAATGGAAAAACTGCAAGTGGCTTTTCAGAGGCAGCTTCATTTGGTGCAATGGACCCACCCGTTCACTGTCTGATTCCCCAGAATCCAAATAAACTGAGGGAAAGTGGAGACCAGGGAGGAGAACTGCACCACCAAAGTCAAAGATGTCAGAGACAACTCCAGTGACTCCCTTGAATGCAAAACAATTATTGTGACTCTGATTATATGGGGACTTATTTCTTTATACTGATATGTAGAGAGCTGGCTATAGTATTTCCTTCTTTCTTCAATTGGCTCTAAGTATTGCAAATAAGGCTAGCCAGATGCTGGTATATAATCTCTAAAACCAATAGACAGTCCTGTCACCTCGCATACAGGATATGAATACAGTGGGATGTTAGAGACAGTCAGCTCCTAGAATGTCAACTGGGTAGGAGCCTCAAGGTAAAGAGGCTGTAACTCCCAGGACACAAGAGTTTGCATATCAGAAACTGAAGCAACAGCCTCCTAAAACAATTCAATTGCTACCTTAATTAGATTATGAATTGATTCTTCTGCATATCTTTGTCTCTGCAATTTACAGAGGTGCCTTTCTCTCACCTGGCCAGCCAGCTCAAGTTATGTAATCCCCCCCCCATCTTCTCTGTTATTCATTACTGAGCCACCCACCCTTTTTTTTATGTAAAGAGAAAAAAAAGGGGTTGGGGATTTAGTTCAGCGCCATAAGCACCTGCCTTGCAAGCAGGCAGTCGTGAGTTCGATCCCTGGTACCGATAAAAAGTTAAAAAAAAAATTATAAAGAGGGAAAAAAAAAAAGAAAGGAAATAAAATTAAAAAAAAACAAAGCAGTAAAAAGGGTACAAATAATACAGAATTTCAAGGAAAAAAATACAGTAAGATATCACTAGTTAATAGGTTACGTATTGTCATCTTTGAAATAGTTGTCCAAATTATAAAATTAAAGCATGTAAAGTGAACATTCATACAATGAGATTGCAGCCAGTACCAATCAATGATCCAACAAAAGTTCAGTAATATGGATTTCCATCCTACACACTCAAACACGCATGCAGTTATATCCCTTAGACCACCTTCCTTTCCTCTCTTTTTAATAACAATTACACTTTTTGGGTTTTTTTACTCCCACAATTCTTATTTTTTTGGAGAGAATAAAACCTAACGTGGCTAAATAAAACAGAGTCAGTTAGAGCAAAAGGATGGACATAGTACATGATGTAAAAATAGAATATCAGGTGATCTAAAATGGTTACCATTGTGCCTCTTGCTATTTTTTAAAAAAGTTGCCTATATCGTCAGGTATAATGGAATTGATCAAAACAGTACAGAACAAGACCAATAAAACCTACACTGGAGACCTTACAGGATCTCAAAAGAAGATAATAATCAAACCATAATGGGCATCTTAGTGAATGTTATGCCTTCAAAGTGGTTGCCTATATCCTCAAACTTGATACTATCAAACAAAATAGAATATAGTAAAATCTGACAGAACAAGATGGGGAGAGCAATACTGGGGATCATATCAGGTTAACAGGAAAACAAAAAAGTTACTATAATATATCCCGCTATTTTTTAATTTAGTTTTCCCTTAATTGAAAAAAAATGTAAGAAAAAAATAGATTAATTTTTAAAAAAGGGTGGGATTGAGGTAAAAGAGGATAAATTCTGGGAGAGCCTATGACCGAGGTCTTTGTTCACATGTCCTCAGGAGGACTGGACTTAGGACCCCTTGGCCGCCCTTAACTTGGAACATGTCTTGGTGTCTTTGCTCTTGCCGTGGGTTGCATTGCTGGTGGCAGATTGGAATTAACTTGCTGGGATTCTAATGACGTCTCAATGGGATTACAAGTGTAACTTTTTGGATTGTGAGGAACACTAGAAAGAGAATTACAATACTTGGGTGACTGAACTTGATATTTGGGATTACAAGAAAAGAAACATCACAGAAGTCATCAGAAATCTCCATCACGTGACTTGCTTGTGATGAGTGCGTTTCAGTCATTTACAATATGAGACAGTAGCACAAGACTGGGCTGTATGTACAGTGCCCACAAGATGGGAACATGGTAAGTGAGGAATGAATGAGTGCAGAGTAACGATAAATTTTGTTTTCAAACCTTGAAAATCATCTACGACTTATCCTTCCAGGTCTGTTCTCCGTAGGTGGCTAAGAAATAATTGAACGACCCTGGGAAGCAATGGAATAGTAACTGGTGTTAAGACTTGGATAGAACGTGGTTCACATTGCAGGATCTCTAGGTACTGGACTGAACTCAGCAGGGTCCCTTACTTGCTTTCTCTCCTCCAACTGGGGATTCGAGAGTCCTGGAGAACCAAGGTTTTTCTTTAGATTTTACCCCTGAATCACTATGTGCTGAGTCACTGGGGAGAGAGTGGGGCCGAGAAGATGGTTGTACAGATTTTACTGTTAATTTTGAATCTGATCAAGAAGCCAGACATAGACATAAATATAACACAGACAAAAATCCCCCAAGTATAAATCAAGGGGTAGAAATAAGCATTTCTAAGGAGCAAGTGGGAATAGGGAAGTTTTATGAAGAAAGTTTGGGTGTTGAAAGATTGGCAGAATTTCTGTGAAGGTGAGGACCAGGCTGTAGGAGTAATTTAATTTAAAGAAAGCTGCAGGAAGGATGTGGAAATTTTTGAACTTACTGAAGGGGATAACACGCGAGAGCTGTCTGAATTTAACAATTCTTACTGTACTTCTGCTTTTATTTTTTGAATTCAATTTATTGGTACATTTTAGGTATAAGTAATGATCACATTCATTATGATTCTGCCTTTAGAATTCATTTACGGTTGAACAGGCAAAATAAACAAGTACATAAATCTATATGCAAATTGGGCAGAGTTCATAAAAAGAAGAGATTACACCCCGTACTGAAGATTCTCCTGAATATGAGAGTCTGATGGAATGTCTCCTCTTGGAAGCTTCGTGTTCAAAGCACCCTTTCCAAACGTGAGTAGTAGAGGTCAGCAATTAGGAGCAAGATTCTGCCTGTTTAGATTCAGTTTCAAATTACTTAGCATCTCTGCACCACCGCTAATTTTTTTTTTTTTTTTTGTCTTTTTCGTTTTTATTGGTACCAGGGATCGAACTCATGACTGCCTGCTTGCAAGGCAGGCGCTTATGCCGCTGAGCTAAATCCCCAGCCCCTTTTTAAATTTTTAAAAAATTTTTATTATTATTATTATTTTTACCTCTGCTAATTTTTAAAATATATGAGGCTATTACTTGGGAAGTTGGGTGGCAGTTTCATAGCAAGTATAGTACTTGGTATAATCCTAAACTTAACAGATACTTAGAATGCGCATGTATTGGTTCCACCAGACAGGCTAAGGGAGACAGGCCACATCCTCCTAAACTGTTAGCCCATTTGTTGACCCATTCTCAGGGTTCAAACCACCTTCCGGCCTCTGCAGCAGCATCACGTGGTTTCGTCTCCAAGCAACAATAGAAAAGCGCCCCAGTCTCAGGCACTTACTCCTCCTGCCGCAAGGGTTTGTTTTTTAAACTCATACAAAAGAGCCAATTACAGACGGCAGACCGAGAGAGCGGAACGGATTGGTGCACAGCTATTTATAGTGGCCAATAGGCGTCAGAGGCGAATTTGAACAGGACCGGAAGCGGGCGAGGGACTTCCGGGGTGGCGGCGGCGGGCGGTTTGAGTCGGGGTCGGGGCACCGGAGGATCGCGGGGACTGCGCCCACTCGGATTGTGCAAGCGGCAGCTTTCAACTCCCCGGGAGCGGGCAGCCAGGTGAGCGAATGGGTCGGCTCTCATCTGGCGGCGGCTTCGTGGTCTTCAGTCGCTGCCGGTGATGCCCTCACCCGGCGTGTGCTCGCCGCAGATCCGGCAGAGGGTCGTGGGTCTGCGCCCCATCTGGGATCGGTTCTCTCCTCCGTAGGATGAAAGAATTGCAGGTGACCAGAAATCTCCCGAGCGCCCTCCCGAGGCCGGGAGCCGGGGTTTGCCCGGGTCTGGATGGGGTGTTAGCTAGGTTTGAGTTTCCTTTCTTTCACTATGATTTGATCGCGCCGGAGTGCCAGACTCTGCTCTGTGACTACGATTTAGAAATAAGTGACCCGAGCCCCCACCGCGAGGAGCCTGGTCCGGAGCAGCGCCTGCGCTGGTCCCCCCGCGGCGGCGCTCAGGCCCTCGTGGGTTTTGGCGGTGTTCCGGGATCCTGATAATGGAAAAAGGTGAAAACGGGCTGCAAAGCTGGTGGCGAGGTTGAGGGGCCCGCAGTATCTAAGAGCGTCCTTGGGGACTTTACAGAGCTCGGGTGACCCCCACAGATTTAAAATATAAAGATTATTAAAGAATAATCTTTAAAAGTCTGGAAGGGATTTGGCTTTCAGTTCGATAAATCCTGTTGCAAGAAAATTCACCCAGGCTTTTCTTTCTCCTTTCCCTCCCACTCAGACCCAGCCCCTTAAATCTTTCCTTCAGGTCTTTGTCCCCCTTTTTGGTTCTTTTGCCCCACAGTGGTCATCGCTAGGTGTCTGATACCCAATGTCTTACCAAATCGCCTTTTGCTGTGATCACTATTAGCTTGGGCCTGGATATTACATATTAATATAGTATGAATATATGAAGTGTATTTATATAACTATATCTTAGACTTTGAATCGGAAAAGCAATCAGCTTGCCGGTTTTTCTTCTATTTCTGTTATGTTTGTCATCTTTCTAAGGCATTCCTTTTCGTATTTTGCTGGCTATGGCATCTTGATGTAATGACCTCAGTGGCGGGCTAAACTGTATATGATAGATTGTTTTTGAGACAGGGTCTGGTAGTGTAGTTTAGCCTGACCTTTAATTCATTCTGGAGCCCAAGCTGGCCTAGACCTTGTGTTCTTCCTGCTTCGGTCTCCCAAGTGCTGGGATTACAGTGGGCACCAATGTTCCCAGCTCTGTACTCCTATGCTTGAACAAAGAAGCTACATTGCCCTTTGTGCTGAGAGGCAAATACTTATCTCAGTAGTTTTTGGGCCAGTGGAGGTGAAGTTTAAAATATCCTCTTCTGGAGAAGGTAGTGATAGACGAACATATTATCCAGGTCCTCTACAGATTGAAGCAGGAGGATTGCAAGTTCCAGAGTGACCTGGAAAACTGAACAAGATCTTGTCAAACAAAACAAAACACAGGGAAGACGACATAGCTCAGCAGGAGAGCACTTACCTCAGGTGCAGTGATTTGGGTTCCACCCTGAGGACTGCAGGAAAGAAAATATCGTCTTCCAAAAGTTGATCTGGGGGGAAATTTACACTGGCAGTGGAAACACAGCTTCCCAAGGCTTCATGTCTAACTTATCCAAAAGTCCAAGACTTTCGTTTCTCCTTCAGTTTTGAAAATCTTTTTTGATTCTTGGTTAAAAAAAACCCCAGATTCTCACCCTATTGCCAGAATACCTAGAAAATAACTTTTCTTTCAATTTGATACTCTGATCTAAAGGCTAAAGTTAAGAACATTGCCTTGCTTTTCTTCTAGGTGATGTAAGTTACCTTAAGATAAGGTGGAGTGGGAGGTAGGCCACTGCCCCTTTTGTACCAGAAGCTGAAATATATAAATCAAAAAGTGTCTTTAAGAACTGAAAAAACCCAGTGGGAAACACTGTTCTAAGGCCTAAGGAAGTCATCACTGTAGTATCTTCATTTTACAGCAGGGAAGCCAGACATAGAGCCCTTAAACAACTCCCCACGGTTGCACATCCTTGAAGCAGCTTGGTGGACTTGAATACCCGTTCAGTGCCTAAGATTGCATGCCTCTGTCTGCTTGCCTGGAGCGTGACTTCATTCTTTGGAACAATCTTAGTCCTGAGTTGCATTTGCTCTAGGTTAATTCGCGTGCTGGTTGCAAGGAGGTGGCACGGGTGAGAAGCTGTCAGGGAGCCCTGCAGGCAGGGGTATGGCATAAAGTATGACGGTGGTTAATAATGTGAAGCTGGAACCAAGAACATCTGAGGACTAATGTGTCAGGTGTTCTGTTTGTTCATAGCCAGGATCTCCATCACCTGAAAACTTAATAGCAAAGCATTCATGTTTGGTGCCAGTTGGAAGCAGGTGGCCATAAAGAAATCAAAACTTGAGAGGAGAGAAAACCGCAAAGTAAGGGTGCTTCAGTCAAGCATACTGTGTACTTCTTGATGTGTCACTGGCAGTCACCTTTCAGAGGATGAGAAGACAGATACTATCTTTATTTTTTTTTATTTTTTATTGTTTTGGTCTTTTTGAGACAGGGTCTTGCTATGCAGTTCAGGCTGGCCTTGAGCTCACTTTGTCGCCCAGGCTGGTCTTGAACTCGCAAAGATCCTCCTGCCTCAGCCTCCCGTGTGCTGGGATTACAGGCGTGAGCCACCACGCCCGTCTCAGATATTATCTTTAAATGTGATGCTCTTTGTCAGACTCTTGGATGTAGTTAGGTAAACCCCTTTTTGTCTCTGACTTTAAATTTCTTTGTTACTCTCTTTTTGAGTTCCGGTCTTGCTATTATAGTTCAGGTTGCCTTGAACTCATGACAACCCTCTTGCCTCAGCCTCCTGTGTGCTGGATTACAGGTGTGTGTGTCACCATGGCTGCTTTAAGTTTCCTTTTTAGCTATGTGAAGATCAGCCATCTGTTTTCTTTGCAGTTCATTGCTAAATGTTGGGATAATAACGAAGGGTGGACAGAATGAGCTGGGCTTTGGAAGAATGGAAGGAAGGCCTTCCTAGCAGAGCGCTACAGAAGATCCAGGAGCTGGAGGTGCAGCTGGACAAACTCAAGAAGGAGAAGCAGCAGCGGCAGTTTCAGCTCGACACGCTGGAAGCTGCGCTGCAGAAGCAGAAGCAGAAGGTAGCGTGGGCTCGCGGGTTTGAAATGGTTCGGTCAGAGAGAAGTGATTTTCTGTTTCTATGTGGCCGCTTCTTCTTCTTTCATTTCAGATATTTCTCGTTGCCTCTGATTTTTTTCCACCTCTGTCCTCATTTCTGTCTACCTGCTGATAGTCAGGGATGTTGGGGTCCATTCTAAGTTCCCCTGGGGACCCTGAGTTGAGAGTCGCTTCTGCACTGCCTGGTGACAAGCCCCGAGTCCTGGGCTTCCTACTGAGGTCAACTTAGAATAGTTTACAGTTAACACAGAGACAGCTTCTCAGCATGGACTTTGGGCCTCGGTGTCCCCCAGCCTCCTCTCTCCAGGTCCAGGGAATGAAAACCTCGTCAGCCCTTTTCTTGTTTTACCCTCTGTGCTAGCCAACAAAGCAGTTGTTCGACACTGGCTTCTCGGAGGTCTTTGCCTCTTCAGGTTTGTGCCCTTTAGCTACCGTCCGTACCTGCCTTTAGCTAGCAGCCAGATTGAAAATGAGTTGCCAAGGAGGAGAGGTTGATGCTGACTGTTTTAATTCTTTTTTTTTTGGTGGTACCGGGGATCGAACTCACGACCTCGTACTTGCCAGGCAGGCACTTATGTCCCTGAGCTAAATCCCCAGCCCCTACTGTTTTTAATTCTTGAAAGGATTTAAAGCCTGCATTTCTAGGATGGCGAGGTGCAGTCCTGACCCACAACAGTGCTGTGATGTGTGACTCTGGGGAGCCTTTTTCTTTCTGGCAGCTTCAGATTGTTCAGAAAGCATTGACGACCGTGTGTTAGGAAACTGGTAGGCATCACCCGGCTGTAACCTACATGTCATTCTTGGTAAATTCACAAAATAAGGGACTGATTTCCTTCTCACTGAACCCCTGTAGGTTGAAACAGAAAAAAATGAGGGCACAAACCTGAAGAGGGAAAACCAAAGACTGATGGAAATATGTGAAAATCTGGAGAAAAGCAAGCAGAAGATTTCTCATGAACTTCAAGTCAAAGAGACCCAAGTGAATTTCCAGGAGGGTCAGCTGAATGCAGGCAAAAAGCAGATAGAGCACTTGGAGCAGGAACTTAAAAGGTAATTATCTGGGTGGTATTTACATGGATGATGTTTGTGTGTATTCATCAGACACAGTTACTATTTTGCTTAATAGCGTAATTGTTATATATTACAACATTCTTTTCCCCAAGTGGAATAAATAGCGAATCAGTTCTGTGGTTACAAAAACAGATCAAATAGTTGCTCGATCATTTATCCATTTAGTAAACATTTGTTTGTTTGTTTGTTTTTGAGACAGGATCTCACTATAGTTCAGGCTGGCCTTGTACTCACTGTGTACCCTGGGCTGGCCTCAAACTCTCATGATCGTCCTGCCTCAGCCTCCCTAGTGCTGGCATTCCTGGAAGCACTACCGTTTTCTTTAGTAGTGCAAGCCTGTAGTACGTGATTACATTCTTTGTGAGCAGTTGGTACCTGTGCGTAGCACATCTTAATCCCTTTTTCCCCATTCTTTCTCGCCTCTCCCTCCGCCTCCATCTCTTGGTGCCCCTTCCCTTTGGAAAAGGTCTGTCTCTGTACTTCCTGTTGTCTGTCTTGTATTTTGCTCCGCATTCATACTTCAGGTTTCTCCTGTAAAGAAACCAGGTGATACTGAAGTTTGTGCATCTAATGTATTTCACTTAATGTGATGTTCTCAAGGTGCGACAGTGCACTTAAGAGTGCTTCCTGTTTATCTCTGCTGGCTCAGTATTACTCCGGCGCATAAATACCATGTTTTCTGTATCCATTCATCTGTGGATGGGCCTAGGTAGAGGCTGCTTCTGGGATTTAGCTATTGTGAGTTGTGCTGCTGTAAACATGGGTGTGCACGGATCACTGTGATAGGAAGTCTCTTTTTCTGAAGCCCTAGGAGGGGAATACTGTAGCTGGGTGGGGTAGAATTTCTAGTGTTGCTTATTTTGTGAAGGTCCTCTACTGACTTCCCTAGTAGTTTTGCTACAGCAATCAGAAGCACCAAAGCAACACCCAGGATTTGGAGACACATTTATTTTATGGCGACTGCGCTGAGGAGGTTGTTCCCAGAACGTCAGGCCGGGATCTCTGGTGGTCTAGGGCTTTTATATGCTCCACAGGCAGGAGGTACAGAGGTGTGACAGAATGGTGGCAGTTCTTCTGGTCAGCTAGCAGGGCAAGATCATCCGTTAAAAGGCTAGATTAATGGTTACAAGCCTGGTACAATCAGGCATCCTGCATGTTCGGTTATGTTCGTGGTTACAGGGGTTTGGAAAGTAATTACAGAGCCAGGAAGCACCTATAGAGCTAGGCAGTTTCAAAAAAACAAAGTTTTCAAGAAGACAGACTTTTCAGGTACAGGTTTTCCCTTTCAGTTTCGTTTAGTACGAGTTGACTGAGCCGCTCTCAGTACCAGGGGCTGCCCTGGTCCCTGAGCGATGCAATGACTTGAAAAGACAGCAGGAAGTGACAGCGTGGCTTACACTGGGGACTCAGGCTTTCTCTGGGTGGAAAGGCTGCCGCAGGGAGAGGAAGGGAAGCCTGAAGATGTGGTGGACGTTGGAGACTGGGCATGGACAGTGACCGCTCTGGCTTGTGTGCTGACCATTCCCTGCAGCGTGTGGGTAGGAAGTGCTGAGAAAGTGGACAGCTGGTTTAAGGGTTCAGGGCCAGGGAGACACAGGGAAGCAGATGGGCGAAAGGAGGGGGCTGGGAGACAGTGGCTGGAGGAGCTGCCCTGGATTCCAGGCTGGGCAGGGAGGGAAGTGAAACCCACACTCACAGCCTCACCTTGGGTTTTAAACATTTTGAAATCGATTCGCTTCTTTCTTTGCCAGGTTAGGCAATAATTAAGTTGCTTATTATAACTTTTTATTTAAAAAAAGCCCAATTAGAAGTGTTAATAAAAATAAGAATGAAGGAGTCATAAAGGTACTTTCCTAGTTTAGAAATGGTATTTTCTTGTTCTAATGGTGGGATTTTGTCAGAATTTCTAGCCAACAGGACTTTAATAAATTCTCCCACTGTGGACTCTGCAACCACCCAGACATTTAAAACAAATTTTTTTTTTTTGAAATAACTTTAGATTGGCAGAAAACTTGCGAAAATAGTGGAGTGCATATATCCTTCACCTAGAATTTTACCCAACTTATACAACCGAAGTATAATTTTCAAACTGGCTAATTCGATTATATGAACTAGACTTTATTAGCATTTCACTGGTTTTCCAGGAATCTCTTTTCTTTGGATTCTCATCCAGGATTCCACACTGCATTGAGCTGAGGTTTTCTTAGCATCTTCTAAAGTTGTGAGGGTTCCTTCTCCTTTGTGACCCCTGACTTTTTGAAAAGTACTGCTTAGTTACTTTGGAAGACGGCCCTCCACTGGGGTGTGGCTGACAGGTTTTTCAGTGATGAATATTTCTCAATGCATGGTTGACATTTCAACCTGCACAGCTTGGTGGATGGAGGGTTGGCTGGTGTGTGGTCGGATCTCACTGGCATTCCTGGCTCGTAACCCTCGACACCAGTGGTATCTACCCCATTCCTAAGTGAATTACAGTGAAGTATCTCCAAGTACTGCCATGTGACCATTGGGAGGGTGAGACCATCTCTGGTGGAGAACCCTTGAGTCAGGTGATCATCAGCTTTGGTAAGAACACTGCAGGGTGGTTATCTGGAGGGTGCGTTTCATGACCTTGATCACTTGATTAAGCTTCTTCCACTGTGAAAGTCTAAATATTCCTTCTGTAAAGTTGCTGGGTTCCCTTTGAGATTAATAACTATTTTGACAGCAAGAAATGTGATTTTTGTGGCACAGCTGTATGTGAGTTCTAGCTGCATAGTCAAAAATATTTTTCAAGGATAAAACATTTAAAGTCAGTCTTTTATTTTTTATCAGTCCATGTTGTAGGTAGGTATCTAAGGTAATTTTTTCATACCCTTCTCCCGTGCCCCCTGCTCCTGCCATCTCTCATTCTCTTTCCCATTTGAAGTTGTTTTCCTAACTTCCTATGTTGTCTTTTAGTTTTCTCTTTATTTATAGGAGAAACCATGTGATATTTGAACTTGTGTATCTAATTTATTCCACTTAACATTATGGTCTTGAGGTTTCCTGTAGGAATGCCTTGCATTTGTCCACCTTTGTGGTACAGTGCACTCTTTTGTGTATTCCCCTTTCTGTGAGATTGATTGTTTTCTTGCACAGAAATCATCTTCTGTGATCCCAGTTTTGTTTCCTGTCTGCGAATGAAGGTGATTATCTCACAGTTGCATGTTTGGATCCTATAACCTTCTTTCTCGCTGAGTTTTTTCTATCATTCCAAATAATGGAGAATGAGGATCTTGACTGCTGAATCCTCTATCCATAGTACCCGACATTTCTGTTGAGTGAAGGAAAGATAGATATTAGTTTTGGATAACAGGTGCTTGGAAATGGGAGCACCACCTCCGTATGCTGGCATAATTGTTTCTCTGGAAAGCTCATTTTGGTGCTGGTTTTAGAAATACTTGTTTTAATTAATTTGGGCAAAAATGGGTGGATTATACTTTGCTTAATCCTTAGGATAATTTTTTCTTCTTTGATAAATGCAAGGATGGGGAAAAGGCAGGAAGGTGTGAATCAGAGGGATGAGAGACCCTGGTTTGCTCTTAGCTGCCACGGTGGTTGTTACAGTCTTCGTTTCAGCCTTTTTGTAACACTGATTGTTGGAGTGTGGCTGTATTTCTCTAGCCTTGGTTCTTATAAAGAACTGGCTCTTGTCTGGTTTCTGTTGGATGAATGGAACGGGTGAGGATTCTTAGAGCATCGGTGAGTTGCTTATCGTCAGGACCTGCATGGCCTGTTTTCTGTCCCGTAACTAACCTGCTTCGTGGCCCCTTGGTCCCTTTCCTCACAGGTGTAAATCAGAACTTGAAAGAAGCCAGCAAGCCACGCAGCCTGCAGATGTCTCTCTGGGTTCATGCATCACGCCGCAAAAAATTTTTGCCACTCCGCTAACTCCAAGCCAACATTACAGCGGTAAAGATTATTTTTCCCTCCTTGGTCTGAACAGCTCCTTCATTGAGAATTTAGTCATGTAAACAAAGTGAATGAATTCAGGTTTGGATACTTAATAAAAACAAAGCCACCTGTGGGACAGTCGGCTCTGTGGCTGTTGGGTTATGTCACAGCCCTGGATAGACACTGAGCTCTCTGCTTTTTCTTCTGGGGTGTATTTTAGAAGAGATGCAGTTACAGAATAGTCAAAACATCTATGTTTCCACAGACTTAAGTATTTGAGTTATTTGATCAGGGCTTTGACCATTGCCCAAACCACTCTGAGTTTTCTTCTTAGGGTACTGAGGGTCGTTTCTAGACTATTTACATGCATTGTTCATCTCTGAATTTCCTTCCAGCACCACCGACTGGAATAAAACCATGTTTCTTTGTCTGTGTTAGGTTCCAAGTATGAAGACCTCAAAGAAAAATACAGCAGAGAAGTTGAAGAACGAAAAAGATTGGAGGTGGAGGTCAAAGCCTTGCAGGCTAAAGTGAGTCAGGTATGGGCCTTATAAAAGACGGTTCTACTTCAGAGTTACACAAGCACCCTGCCGTAGAGCAGAGTAAGCTAGAGCAAAATTTATTTTACATAGAGCTGACAAGTTGTTCGAAAACCGAGAAAAACATTGCTGAGTTTAAGGTGATTACCTTTTAGTTTTAGGTTTTTTTGTTTTTGTTTTTGTTTTTTGTTTTTTTTTTTGAGATAGAGTCTCACTGTGTAGCTCAGGGTGGCCTCGAACTCACAGTGATCTTTATGCCTCAGCCTCTCAGGTGCCAGGGTTACTGGTGTGCACCACCAGGCCCTGCATCTTTTTAGTTTTAAAAATAGGTGGAAGTGAGGAAAGTAGAGTGGAGAGGTGAGTTTATTCCCAGATACCAAGTGCGCATGAGTCTTTGGGGAACTGTAGCTGTATAGTGCTTTTCTTCTTAAGATCTAGGGGTAAGGAGGGCATGTGTCTGGAGAGTGCAGGGCAGGAGAGGGATCCTGAGGCTCAGGATGAATTTGTCACCTAGAGGCCACTGGTTGTTGTCCACTCAGCCAATGGAACGAGATTTGTGCCAGCGATGTGGCTCTGGAGCCTCGTTATTTGTGAAATGCTGATTTCAGAGGGGAATGGTGTCAAGGCAGTCTCTGCAGTTCTTCTTTTTCCAAGATAGATTTTTACTACGTAGTTCAGGTTGGCCTTGAACTAACTCCATAGTCCAGGCTGGCCTTGAAATCATGATCATCCTCCTGCCTCAGCCTCCCAGGTGCTTGGTTTACAGGCTTGTGCCACCACACAAGGCTCTCAATTCTTTTAAATAAGCTGCTGCAATGGTTTTACACTCTATTTTGATTGAAGAGTATTGTAATCCCAAAGATGGGTGCAGTATTGTAATCCTCTTTTTAGTTTTCCTCACATTCCAAAAAGTTATATTTGTAATCCCATTGAGACATTATTGGAATCCCAGTAAGTTGACTTTAATCTGCCACCACCAGTGCAAACCCACTGTGAGAGTAAAGACACCAAGACATATTCCAAGTCAAGGGCAGCCAAGGGGTCCCAAGTCCAATACATATGAGGATGTGCGGACAAAGGCCCTGATCCAAGGCCTCTCCCAGAATTTATTATCTTGTGAAGAAGGGTTGGCTCAGGGATGAGTGATAGTGAGGATGGCGGGAATTATGCGAGTAACTTGAGCTGGCTGGCCAGGTGGGGGAAAGACATATGCAGAAGGATCAATCCACATAATCTAATTAAGGTAGCAACAGAATTGTTTTGGGAGGCTGTCTCTTAGGGGTTTCTGATATGCAAACTCTTGTGCCCTGGGGAGTCATAGCCTCTTTTCCTTGAGGCTCCTACTCAGTTGACATTCCCTGGGCTGACCCACTCTAACATCTCACTGTGCTCACAACCTGTATGGAGAACACTATTCAGGAAACAGGACTGTCTGATGTCTTTAGAGATTACACACTAGCACCTGGTTAGCCTTATTTGTGATGCGCAGAGCCAATTGGAGAGAAGGAAATACCATAGCCAGCTCTCTACATATCAGTTTTAGGAAATGAGTCTCCAAATAATCAGAGTCGCAGTAATTATTTTGCATTCAAGGGGAGTCACTGGAGTTGTCTCCCACATCTCTCTTTCTTGTTTTGTAGCTCCAGCAGGGCTAGTTGTGGTTGTATGGCTTTTAGTCGTAGTTGGATAGTGAATCTTTTATGACAGGCTTTAATGAGAAAACTTATAAAGAATAGAATGAGCACACCACTTCCGATAAAACACCAAAAGTGAGCCTTGAGGTATACAAATGGCTTTAGTTGCTCTATGCATCAGCAAACTTATCCCAATCCTTAATTTGGGTATCAAAGGTGGCTGTCTGTTGTGACATGGACAGCACTGGTCTCTGAAGAGCATCTATATCCATAGTAATATTCTGATGAATGGCTCCTTGTATGTGCCTTTTGATCATCTCCCAAGGATGTAGGCTTTTGCTGTATGACAATGGGGTGATACAAAAACATGTCATATTATAATGACACTTTAAGCCTTGTTGTAACTGTAAGCTTTTAATCTGGTCTCCCATCCATAGGACTGAAGTATTAGGTTTGTAACTTTATATCAATCTCTCTGAATTTTCCAGCTATCATCAGCAGTTCTTGTCCTGTTATGTACAAAGTGAGCAGTTTGTATTGAATGTGCCTAATGCTGTGGAGCCAATAGCTGTGCTGGCTGTCAAAAGAACTGGGGAAGTAATCCCTGCAATAATCAACCCAAGCATCCTTTGGTTCAATTGTTAAATCTTTTGATCAAGGTTTCCACCAACAGGGCAGTAGGTGAGTGATACCAAAGCTCCGTTAGATTGACTGGAAGCCGAACTCCAGGCATCCTGCCCATGATTATTATGGTGGAGTCCTTAGAAAGAAACTCAGGCATGATACAGTGGGTTAGATAACAATTAGTACATGAGAACGTATTGGTCCAGTCTACAGCTGTCCTGCATGAAAAGGCAAAGCTAGTTTCCATAAAGTGTGCTGTCTGGGCTCAGTCCTGTATAAGTCTAGGAGTAAGAGAATTGAGGCCTCTATCTGACTGTAATATTCGATAAGACTTCTGAGGTCATTGCATTGCCAGCAGAGCCTGAAAAGGAAATCTCATGCCAATCCTGACCTTTTCCCGTAAGTACACCTCTGGGACACCAGTCTGTAAAGGAATAATTGAATTTGCGTATAACCCGCCCATGGTTTGGATCTCTGCAAGACTGCCAAGGGCCCAAATCACCTTCCTCGAAATGAGGGGCACGAGCTACTGGAGTACAGATAGGAATGTTAGGTTTGAATTCTCTAACAAGGTTACCATCTGAAGGACTAGATGTCAAGGTCAGTAAGGCAAAGCGTTCTTTTGACAACATGTCTTCCAAACCTGATTTACAGCAGGCATACATGGGTTAGAGTCTTGCCATAGTTGAGTAACACATAAGGGAGGATAAACAAAATGAGAGGTGATCTTTACTTTGGCTCGTTTTTGTAGATGCATGAAAATATGAGGGTCTGGCAGGACAGTAAATGTAGCATTCTTGCTTTCTATAAAATGGAAGATTTCTGGTGGCTTATCCATCCAAGTTAAGGGTCTGAGCAGAGGTGGATTGGGTATGTAAGCCTAGTACTCCTTTCCCTGAATCAAAGGAATACATGTTGTAGCTGTTAGGATAACAAGCACTGTAAGGAAAAAACTATCAGGCGATTGAACTGAACCCTGGCTGTTAAGTAGATGGCAAGCCCCGGGAACGTCTGCTTCAGGGCTTTCCAGCACATGGGTGATGCGCTATCAGGTTCATTGCTTGAGGTCTTGACGTGTCCTGCAGGTGGGTGCGATTCTGGCCATGCATCTGCTCTGATGGTTGTAATGTCTGCCAATAATCTGTAAATATAAAAATATTCTCAGCCCCGATTTAAAAGTGATACCGGACCATTCCAGACACCTGATTGGAGGTTATGCCGAGGTACAGGGTGCAAGGACTTCAGAGAAGTCCCAATGTATCACTGCTGGCAGCAAATCAGAATCAGAGGTAGGGCTCAGAAAATTTAAAACATATGTGGCAAAATGCAATAAATTTGAGGAGAGTTCTGACTCTCTATTGCCTCTTGTTGTTTGATTAATTAACCTTTTAATTTAAAACGAGTGCACTCAATTACTGCCTGACCTTTGGGATTATAGGGTATCCTTGTGACATGCTTCCTATTCCAGTTATCAGGAAAACGTTGGAAAAGTTTGCTAATATAAGTAGGGCCAATGTTAGATTTTACAGTTAGTGATACCTGTAAGTTAACAAAGGCTGATACACAATGATGTATGATTACATGTTTACCTGAATGACAGCATGGAAGCTACCTATAGAGGCATGAATACATTTAAGCTTGTTATTATTTATGAGGCATAATGGGTTAGCTGTAGAATCTCTGTGATTGTAACTGTTGAGGAACAGGCCCAGAAATATGTTTACTGGCAAAATAGGATAACCCAATTTGTCTAGCCTGTGCTATGGTAATTTTAAATGTCTTTAATAAAGTTTTAGAAATATAATAAATTTATAGGTTTGTCTTGAATTATTTAAAATGGAAGCCAGATTTACTGGAGCATCTGCATTGTGATCACCAAATGCCACTGAATTTGGGGGATTAAAATAGGTTGTAATAGGATCACTAAGGAATGGAGCAGTTTTAATGAATATATCCCATAGCAGTTTTAAAATTACTTGCAATAGTGTGGGCTTGAATTGACCACATTAGTGTTGTTTATTTAATGATGTTAATATGATCTACAAACTTTTTTGTATAGAAATACCAAAGGTTTTTGTCATACATCCAACTTTAGCTTTATGTCGGTTAACTGAGTGCACACCCAGTGCTGTTACTATGCCTGTCTGTCTGTCATGGCTGACATAAGGTAGCAGCAGCGACTGAGGAGATCCTGAACCTAGCAAGGCTGGGAAGGCAGGACTAAGCCACCAAGCCTGCATCCATGATTGGCTGTTTACTACGGTGACGTCAGTCCTCGTCCCCAGCAGTGCAGTAAGAGCTTTGTCAATTAATTTATGAGTACTTGTATGAAGTGAAATACCCTGGGAAAAACAAGGTTTATTGCTTAAAGCCTTGTTTTTAACAGGTTTATTTACAGGGTTAAAGGCAGGAGTGGTAATTTCTATGGAAATCCAAGTTGGCCTTTTTACTCCCAAAGAACAAATGTAAGGAAGCTCAGGTAAATCTAATTCTGTGTGCTGATTGGTTCCATGGACCAGGGAAACTAGGGGCACAGAGAGATTGTTGCTAGTCTGATTTGGACCGGATAAAACTATCTTAATAGGTTTTGAATTATTGGAGTATCAGCTCAGAGGTCTTACTCATATTCAGGGTTTTTTTTTTTTTTTTTTTTGATACTGGGGATCGAACTCATGACCTTGAGTTTGCCAAGCAGACTCTTACACCACTGAGGTAAACCCCCGGTCCTATTGAGGTATTTTATTTGGGCACATGATTTGTTTTTCTGCAAAAGTGTGCCGTTTTTATGAAACTTAGATTTACAATGTTTTTTCCAGTGAAACCCTTTCATACACCATGGACAGAGTAGGCGCAGCCTGAGTAGTGAAAGAGACTGACACCTTTGGATGTTGCATAGTTTTGTCTACATGTTTTCCTTTGTCATGATTAAAACATTGAATTACATTTAATTTATCAGTAAGGTGTTGGGACACAGCCTGCAATGTGAGTGGAAGAGCCCACATTTTGGCATGTTTGAATATAAATGGATAAGTCTTTAGTGTGTAGGACTGATGCCAAGACTCTTTTACAATCTTCATTAGCATTGTCATTTGCTAATTGACAAAGGATAATTTTAGCGGCCTTTTCATGAGAGACTTGTCTATGTGTTGCTTGCTGTATGTAAGTCTCTGTAGGACCTTGCAAAATCTGGGTAAATGATATATGAGGTGTACCATCTTCTGGGACAGAGATCCATGCACAATCTTTACATTGCATGAAAAGAAGAGGTGGGATGTGTGCTTGGATTTTATGTCAGCATATTGTCTTACGCCAGACAGCATTTACTAGTTATTCTGTGCTTGCTTTGAAATTACAATCCTTAATTGTAATTCAAAATGTAGAAATTGTGCAGGTGAAAGACGTGCGGGCTAGGTGGGTCACATCACTTGGCATCATTTGAAAATCTTGAATTATGTTGTCTAAACAACCCAAGGTGTAAGGAGCCTGAACCCCATTATCCAGGACAGTTTGAGGTCTTTGAGAAGTAGGAAATTAAAAGCAGTGTGTGTTCCACATTTTCTTGTGGGATTATCTGATTCATTATCCTTAGTTACTGGGAAACTGAGAGCCTGAGCACGGGGGTTGGGGGGGTGGGTGAGGAGGTTGAATGTCAATAACATTTTTAAAATGCAGATTTCTAAAATCTCTGCTTCTAGTTTAGGGATGAACCCTGACAATTCCTGTTATGTATTTAGTTTACTTCTACCAGTTCTGTTCACATGATACTACTTCTTTTTAAAAAACAAAAAATCCCAGCCTGGCATTTAATAATGTATTTCTGCTAAACATTGAAACTGGGTGGGAAGGGACAATTCACCAAGAGTGTAAGGTTGGACTGGTACGTCAGTACCTTCTGAGCACTGAGGGTTCCCCTTGGAACCAGCTCTGCCCCTGAAATAGATTTCCGAAGCTCTTTGGTTTACTAATGGAGAATGTAGATCTCCTCCACATTAACCCTCTTCCTTTATCCTTTTTTTCCTTTTTCTTTTTGAGTCAGGCTCTCACTATGCAGTTCAGGCTGGCCTTGGGCTCACTTTGTAGCCCAGGCTGGTCTTGAATTTGCATCAATCCTCCTGCCCCAGCCTCCTGAGTGCTGGGATTACAGGCGTGTGCCACCACGCCCGGCTAACCCTCTTCTTTTAGCAAGAGTAATGCTCACTGTAAACACCAGACTGCAGCCTCCATGGCCCAGTCTTGGCGAGCAGGGGAGAGCCGTTATCAAACATAGCGCACCTGAAATGGCATTCTTCTGTGAAGGGTATGGGAGAAAGCGAGTCTCGAAAGGGTTCTTTAGCTAAAATTTAAATTTTGATTCTCTCTGTGCAAAGCTCTGGGGATGGGAGATGTGACCACAGAGGCCCAGGAAGGCCAGCTTTGGGATTTAGGACGTCAGTGAACGCTCACATGTGCGTAAGGGGTGTGCCAGGGGTGCAGGGGGAATACGGAGCCTTAGCCCTCCTTAAGCAGGTGGGGCCCCGGTGGCGGTGGCTGAGCCTCAGGCCGGGAAGTGTGACCTTGGGACAATCCCGGGGCTGGGACTTGGGACTGCGTGGCTCCCTTGCCTTGGCAAGCTCGATTTCTTGGTTTGTGGCCGTGCCTTTCTGTTTTATTTGGAAATAAGTCGTGTTGGCTGCTGAGCTTCTCGAAGGGCTCTCACGGGTTTCTTTGTTTACAGAAAGCCAGCCAGGCTGCTCCCCAAGCCACCATGAATCACCGAGACATCGCCCGACACCAGGCTTCCTCATCTGTGTTCTCGTGGCAGCAGGACAGGACCCCACAGCGGCTTTCCTGCCATTCTCAGAAGACCCCCAGCAGGAGGAATTTCTCCTCCTCTCACATATTTGGCCAGGAGGAGGTGACGCCCAGCCGATCCATTCTGCAAACAGGGAAGAGAGACGCTAATAGCAGTTCCTGCGATCCTGCCAGTGGCTCCCCTCTTTTGGACCAATTGGAAGGCCAGAATCAAGGTAATTTCTGGAGCTATGTGAAGTTTATTTTATTTTTGTTGCCACTGGGGATCAAACTCAAGACCTTGCATTTGCCAGGCAAGGCGCCGTGCCGCTGCGCTGCACCCCTGGCCCACTGTATGAAGTTTAAATTAAATGTTCCCAAGATGATTTCAGAGGCACTCAGGTAGTATTAAGGTTGGAGCGCACATGTGTTTTGTTAGATGCTACAGGAAGTAGCTGGTGACCAGGCTGTGGATGTGGATGTGAATCGTTGTTGCCCTTTTACGTAACGATAAGAGGCATCACAGTTTCTGAACATTCTTTTACTCATAAGGAAAACCTGATGTCCTGAGCTTTTTAAGGCCAGCTGAGAAGCTTTATCTCTGCAGGAGCAGATCGAGTAGGCAGGTTCCTGGGCTCCAGGTCTGGCTCCTGGAGTACTGGAGGAGTACTACATCTCCTGCTGGAGGTGTGCAGCCCAAATCTCGCTGCCCATGTGGCAGGGAACCTGTGACCTTGGCTACCACGCCACGCTGCGGCTGATAGCCAGGCACACCAGGTGGCCTTCTGGAGTCTGCTAGGGACACTGGTATGGGCCAGTGCTGTGATCTATTGAAAATCTTTGGTAGTGTTCACCAGGTGAGAGCTGTCACACTGCCAAGGCCTTGGAACCCATGGCGCGTAGACGTAGGGAAAAAGAGTGAGAAAAAAAATCATGGTTAGCCTGGCAGTGTGGGAGGTTCATAGTGTTCGGCTCTTTCCTCAAGGTAAACTCCGGGGAGTTCAGGAGGGTGAGCTTTCACTGCCCGGCACTCAACCGCGTTGATGCAGGGGCAGAACAGAGGTGAGGGCGATTGCCATCATGCTGAATGTTTACATTAGAAGTAAACTATTGCCTAAAGCATGCATGCCGTTAACCCCCCACTTCAAACACACGGGTTTTGCTGCTTTCTCTATCACTTCTGGAAATCCTTTTTTCCCGTGTGTCTTGATGAGGTGTGATTGAAATCCAGCAAATACTGCTGCCACGTGCCGGCCAGCACAAGGGCAGCTCACGACGTTGTGGGTCTTCATCCACCTCATTCTCAGATCCGGCCCAGTGCAACTCCTGCTTCTTCCCCAGAGTCACAGCGACCGGGAAAGGTCAGTGTTTCAATAGATTTCGGACAGTCAGGCAGCAACTGAAGACATGAAAGAGGACTTCCAAACTGCTTCAGAAAGTTGCAGAAACAATGCGGTAAACGTATTCAGAGCAACAAGTATTTTGAGGCAGCGTGTCTTTTACTATAATCAAATTTGAAAATTCGCTTTATTTCTCGCTCACATTGTATTAGTTTGCTAGCATATAAAACAAATGGTATTGCATTGGATGCACTTTTTGCAGCCTCTGTGAGACACTATTTGTGATTTTAGAAAGTGTTTCCTCCCCAGGTTTTCCTGTGAAGACGCAAGAAAATCCATTTCTCTTTCTGGAGCGTATTTGACTACAAATGACAGTAGATATTAACCACTGAAGTTAAACTCAGTTTTTCTGTTATAGTAAATTATTTATATTTGTCTCCCTGAAGTTGTGAGAGGAGAGTGAGAGAAAAGGTAAATCCTAAACATTTTGTAAAGACTACGTGCGCTGGAGTTTGCTTTTTGTTTGTGGTTTCAGAGCTAAGAAGCAAGGTTAATGAGCTGGAGCTGCGTCTACAGGGACAGGAGAAAGAAATGAAAGGTCACGCGCATAGATCTCAAGAGCTGCAGCTCCAGCTGGAGAAGACAAAAGCGGAATTAATGGAAAAAGACAAAGTTTTGAACAAAAATAGGGACGAACTGGGGAGAATGACAGCACAGTACGACCAGGCAGCAGCCAAGGTACTCGGCTTTCCATGAATTATTCAGAGATCGCCTTCTTTTTTACCCAGTTCTTTGCAAAGAGTGTTTTGTGCTGGAGTTTCTCGAATAAAAGTGAGTGGTGAGCTTTGCTAGTGTAGACCAGGCAGTGTGGACACTGTGGAAATGGGAAGCTGCCTGAGGGCCGGGTGGGGATCAACCCTGGCTGTGCCCTGCCAGCCAGTGGTGGCTTTCATGTCCCTAGGGGTGCTGGAGGATGATGGTGATCGGTCTGTAGCACCTGACACTGCACGGCACACAGCACAGGCACTTAGACCGACCAGGCTTCAGAGAGTTGGGACATGCAATGGAGTTTAATTGATCCACTTGTGGGATCCAGTACGTAGATTCTTTCAGATAGGCTGATTTTTCATTGAATTTCTGCCCAGCCAGGCCTCTCCACATATGAGAGACATTTATCCTTGGCCAGACAAGATCAACAAGTCTTTATTCCACTTAGCTGGAAGTTCGTTTCACTTTTCCCCTGTTGTCCCCAGTATGAGTTTGTCTGGGGTTTTGCTGAAATCATATCATGCTGCATTGATGCCGTTCCTGGGCCAGTGCCACGGGCATGGGCATTCCGTCCTAAACAGCCTGCAGCTGGGCGTTCTGTGTTCTTGAGTGGCCGCAGGCTGCTGCTAGTACAAGTCTTTCCCAAGTATTTACCGACTTCAGAGGAGGCTTGAGTTCATGTGGAAAGTGTCGGGCTGGCCGCAGGCCTGGAAGTCAACACATTTCACAGGGAAATCTCAGACCCAGAAAGTTAGGGATGTCCAGAGTCACAGGTCACTTATGGACTTGAGCTCTGGATGTTTTCTGTTGAATGTTACGACACGTTTGTGATACCTAGTCATTGGCTCCTTTTATGTGGATCCTGCATCGTGGCTATCAGAATGGCATTACAGGTTTTAGAAAATAAAATATGTATACTTTTAAAAAGTATGTATACTTTCCAAAAATACATAGAGTGGAAAAGGACCACTGACCCCAAGACCAGTGAGTGGAGTGTGCTGCAGTCTGAGGGAGTGCCAGCAGGGGGCGCCAAGACCCCACTCATTTACTTCCCCTGTAGTTGCTTTTGGAAAATCTGGTTTTTTCCCCTTTGTCAGGCTTCATGATTTCGGACCATTGTTTGGGCCAGGACTTTTGTCTGTATCGTTTACTGCTGTAGCCACAGAATCTAGACCAGTGCACTACACAGAGTAGTCGCTTAGTAGATATCTGTCAACTTCGTATTTTCTTGTTGTTATAATCTCTCCTTGCTTTCCTTGGAGATTGAGAGATGCCTGGACAACAGGGCTAATAACCGAGGTGTTTTTAATAGGTGCCCAAGGCAGTGGGTCCATTTGAACCACTGGCTTGAAATTTTACTTTTTCACCTTTGTAGTTTAAAAGTTCTGGTATTTGCAAAGTCATTCTGTCATGTTGATTACTTTGGTGCTTTTCATCTTTGGTTAATTAATAATTAGTGTGATTGATTTTTTTTTTTTCAGCAAAGTATCCGATAGTGTTTTGTATGCCCCCCCCACCCCGAATTCTAAGTTAAATTTCTAATATTCCTAATAGTTTTAAGTCAGGCTATGAAGCATTTTCAGAGAAATACACTGTTAGTGAGATCTAGTGAGTTCGGAGTTCGGGCTCAGGTCCCAGGACTGGGAGAATTCTTCCCCTCCAATATGAAGTCGTGAATTACTAGAAGGATTAAGGCCATTTTGCTGGGTGTGGTTTTGCACGCCTGTGATTCTAGCGCTTGGGAGGCTGAGGCAGGAGGTTCGTGGGGAGTTTGAGATCAGCCTGGGCTACAAAATAAGCTACATAGTGAGACCCTGTCTCAAAAAATCATACAAAAGAAGAATTAAGGCCATTTTGTCCTAATCTGATTTTCAGAGAGCTTCCTACATTTTCAGATACTTCACATTCTCAAAAGTGAATATTGGTGCCATCATGGGGACCCGGAGCCTCCAGAAGGACAGTTGGGAGGGAACCTTGTAGGGAGGAAGCACTGCGTCCCTGCAGATCTCCAGTGGAATCTGTTTTGCTTGGAAGAATTGCAGGAAGGTGATAGGCCCCCTCTGAGGTCGCCAGGTGACCCCACCGCCTCTTAGCCTCCCCATCAGCGACTGGGTCAGGAGTAGACATGCCGTCTCGGTCTGCACAGCGGACTGCAGAGTCTTCCTAAAGTGAGCATAGGCTTCCTGTCCTTGTGAATATTTCCCCAAAGACGCATTTTGTTTGTTCTGCGTAAGCAGAGTGGTTCTTGTGTTTGGCGGACAACATCCAATGCAGTGTTTTCTGGAAGGGAAAGATGGAAACCCTGGTGACCTTATGATGGGCCCTGAAACTGAGATTTTTCTGGTATGCAGACTATATACCTCTTTTCTGGAGTAATTTTGTTTTTGTGCCTGGGGTGGAATGTTTTTCTCTGCCCTTAGTGTTCAGCGCTGGAACAAAAGCTGAAGAAGCTGACGGAGGACTTGAGCTGCCAGCGACAAAACGCAGAAAGCGCCAGGTGTTCCCTGGAGCAGAGGATCAAAGAGAAAGAAAAGGAGCTTCAAGAGGTACCCGGAGGGGGTGAGGAGCAGGCCCACGGCTCTGCACGTGGGGTTGGGAAAGTCTGCCGAGGCGGGAGGGGAGCTGCTGGTTTATATCTGGGGAGGTGTGGGGGTGTGGAGAGGACACTGTCCTTGCCACATCTCAGGTCTCACTTTGGATTTTTAACCTGAAAGAGGAATCAGCACTCAGCGATCATCTTTACCGAGCTCTCTGTTCTGTCCTGGGAAAGGAAGGCTTCTGTTTCTTCCCTAACCCTCAGCTGTGACGGTGGGGGTGCTGGGATCAGCCCTCAGCTGCCCTCAAAGCCCATGGCGGCTGGGGACAACCAGCAAGATGACACTCCCTGTGGGGAGGTGGTGGGCAGAGTCAGGGCAGGCTGGGACAGCAAGGATGTGGTCTGCATGGTCCTCAGCATGTGTGTCCCATAAAAGTCTGGTCCTTGGGGGGACAGGACCACTGGCCTCCCTGTGTGGTGAGCCAAGTTCGCTGGTAGCATTAATGTTGCATCCTCTCAAGCTGAAAACTTCTGGGAGAGGCAGGTAGGACTGCTCCTTTGCACCCCATCTGAGTGAGAAAGGTTTCTTGGCCAGCGGGTGACCTCCGCCGCTGACTGTGATCACGGACCGTGTAGGGGCTGAGCTTGAGATGGGGAGGAGGCGGGAACGGGCCTGCTTCCTCGGATCGTGGCAGACGTCAGAGACCTCTGTGATCAGAGCCAGGTGCAGTGGCTGCCAGCCCCGTGCCCTGCTGTCTCTGGATGTGGTGTTGCCTGCTGGGTGCTGGTGTCTGGTCCCTGCTCATCACCCTGGGGTGACGCGTCTGTCCTTTGTTCCAGGAGCTCTCCCGACAGCAGCGGGCCTTCCAGACGCTGGAGCAGGAGTTCGTGCAGACGAAAGCCAGGCTCACCCAGGAGCTGCAGCAAGCCAGAAATGCGCTCCGAGGCCCGGAGGCCGAGCTGGACAGGGTAGGCTCAGAGCCGGCGCTGCCCCCGCAGGGCCCTCCCCCCGCAGGGGCCCTCCTGGTCCTCACGCAGGCTGCTCTCTTCTAGTTGCTGGAGTTTTTTTAAAAACCGATACATAGAAATTGCACCTGTAATGGAGTACCATGGCATCTTCCGTACATGTGTACTTTGTGCAATATTTAAACCAAACCAAACAGAGCCAGGCTGGATGGTGCATGCCTGTAATCTCCGCACTTGGGAGACTGAGGCAGGAGGAGCATTGCCATTTTGCGGTCAGCTTGGTTTACGTAGCAAGGCCTGTGGCTCTTTGAAATGTGCAGTGCAGCCTTCTAACTGAAGGCCATCCGCATGAAACAGCTCAGCGGAACCCTCTGGGGCTCTTTAACCATGACTTAACGACCTTAGTGACCTTTCCCCACCCCTCTCCCGACTCTTCCACTCGCAGCTTCTTTAGGGTCAGCCTTGCTGGGCCCACATACACACCCGTGATTCCATGAAGTATAAGACGTGCTCTCGCTTTCCTTCCTCCTCAGCGTGGAGAGAGCAAGGGGAGCCCTGCTGGCTCCTGGTTAGCAGTCAGTAGCTGGGCTGGGAGTCATGTGACCAGCGGAGCTGTCCCAGGTCCTTTATGTCCCAAGGACTTAAAGCACTGAAGATGCTAATCAGCTCACGCCAAAAGCAACCTCGCCTCCCAGATCTATGGCTCTCTGTGTCACCTCTGTGCTGCCAATCATGCTGTCTGTCCTGCCTGGGGCTCCCGCCCTAGCTGCAGACCTGGCCCTCGCTGTCTCCCTCTTCGGGCGGTGATCACATGATTCCAGATGTTCTGGAACCTGCACTTCCCCATCTCCTTCTGCCTTAAACAGCAGCTGTGGTCCCAGCTGTCCCAAGCCTCAAGTCACCTTCAGTTCTTTTCTTTCTCCTGTACTTCGAAGTAGTTTACTAAAACTGGCGATGCTGCCTTTATTTGGTGATCGTATGTTTGCATGTGCATACCCACATACCCGTGTATACAGAGGTGTATGCACACATATCTGCATGTCAAGGGCATGGAGCCTGTTTAAACCTTTCTGTGTTAAAATACGAAATTTATGTGGAGTGAATGTACAGCTCGGTGAATAACAGGTGCACGGCACATTCTCTGAAATATCATCCAAGCTGGGAGCCAGGTCTTGTCCGTGACCCCACCGTCCCTCCACGTGTGTCCCCTACTCCCTTGATAAGGAGTGGCCTGGCTGGGTCTGTTTCTCTACTTGTTGGCCTCGAGGCCTTTCAACCATGTGCAGAGCTGCATGCTGCCAGGGCCTGTCCTTTTGCCCCAGGGCACCACCGTGCCAGCCTCCTGCTTCTGTGTCCTTTGAATCGAGTGTGTGGCTCTGTGCTGTCACTTCCGGCCCGCCTTAGGTGGTACCCTCCACCCTCTTCCCCACTGTCCCTGCTCTGTCTGTCTCACGTGTGGCCGCCTTGCCTCTGCCTGGTAGTACCAGGCTCTTGCCAGCTTGGGCCCGCTTGCTCTTTCTGTTGCGAGCTGTTCTTGCCTGGCTGATCTGAGGCCTCGGTCCTCTGTTTCCTTTCCGTTTCTGCTCAAGACCCTCCCCTCCCCCCAATGGTCCCAGCACGTGCCCCTAGCCTCAAGGTCTTCCTGTTTTCTGTAGCTTGCTTAATTTTCTGCATGGTGCACACAGCTGACATCCAGTGTGGCAATAATGCTGACACTGTCTCCTGCACTCAGCTCTTTCTTTCCAACACCTTGGAGACTTGTGTCTGCCTAGTCCACTGTCGGTCTGCCGCATGGCAGGACTGAGTCTCTGTCGCTGTATCCTGACCGAGCATCTGCAGGGCTGTGGCTCATTCTTTCCTTGACTTGTCCTGAGTCTTCCTGTGGCTGTTTTCCCAAGCCTGGCCTCCTTCATATGGGTCCTGTGTCACCCAGTGAGGTCCCAGACTCATATCTCGGGTTCTTATTTAGAGTGGGGGTGACATATACTGGGTCTCAGCCAAAGTGGCATCCGTTTTTATGTTGCTTGAGCTTGCTATGATTTAAGAATCTTGAAACATTGCTCCCCGCCCTCCACTGTAGGTCACAGCAGTAAAGCAACAGCTGGAAAAAAATCTGGAAGAATTTAAGCAAAAGTTCAGCAGGATGGAACAGGCTTCCATGGAGCGGCAGGAGGAGGAGGCTGCGCTGAGGAGAAGCAGTGAGGTGAGAGAGGGGCAGGGAGGTGGTGGGACAAGGGGTGAGGGGCGGGATGAGGGGTCTAGGGCAGGGCTGGGGGGCGGCAAGGGGCGTGGTGTGAGGGTGAGGGGCGGGACGAGAGGGTGGGCAACCAGGCTTCCCAACTGTATGGGGAGGGCCCAGACAATCGCTTTATGGTTTGTGATAGTTTATTGTGGCCATATAAAAATTTTTTTCTTATTTGCCAGAACTATGACAAAATGTTCTGTCATGTGACGTATGACGTAGAATACCTGCTTATTTTTCACTTTGCATTCTGATAGAATTCCTGGCATGTAGCAGTTGTAGGAAAATACAACTTGTGTGAAGAAGCACTCACACAAGATTTTTAAAGAGAGACCATCTGGGAGGTGGGAGGATGGGAGAAAGAGAGAGGATTTTTCTGAATGGAAAGAAACAAAGTTTTGACATAAAATAGTATTTAAATTGCTTTTATAGCCAGGCATGGTGGTGTGTGCCTATAATCCCAGCACTTGGGAGGCTGAGGCAGGAGGATCAACATGAGTTCAAGGCCAGTCTGAACTACATAGTGAGACCCAGTCTCAAAAAAAAAAAAAAAAAAAAAAAATTGCTTTCTAAACACGTAAGAAGTCATAGGTTTAACCAAGCAAAAGTAATGGTAGGTGGTGGATTTCGAGATTTGAAGTTATTGTGAAAATCAAGTAATTGTGGGTTGCAGCTGTGGAGTGCGCCCTGACCTTAGCCGCTGGTGTGTACACCCACGGTGGCCACTGTGCTTTGCTGTTTGTTCTTTCCATGGTCAGGGTCACTTTCTAGATGGTAAAGATTAAAGTAAGCGTGTGCTTAGCTGGGTGAGGAGAGTGTCCATGCTTTTAGTCCCTGGGGCTTGGCAGAGGGGCACAGCGGAGAAACCCAGTGCCTGTCACAGTGAGGGGCACCTGAGAGGTTCTGCAGAGGGGCCCCTGCTGGAAATGAGGCTGAGGGCAGTGATTGGGGCTGGACTCCTGGGACCTGAGGAGAAGGTTTGTTGGGGCAAAACAAGTGTTTGCCCACCAGATGCTTCTGCTCACATTTCCACTGGCAGACTGGCACAGAGCTCTCCCTCAGTGGGCTTCCCTTTTAGCCTGCAGTTCTCTAGGGACTCCATGGGCCACCTGCCTGCCAGAAGCCTTTTGTCAGAGCAGTTGAGAGAGTCCTGGACTTTGAGAGGTGTGTGCTGGCCAAGTCATCGCCGGCACATGGGGCTGTGTGCACTGCAGAGCTGCCTCGGGCAGTGCTCGGTCTGCCCAGAGCTTCGTGCACACCCAGCTTCACTCCAAGCTCATCAACCTCCATGTCACGTGAGGGCAGCACACGTGGAAAGTGCTTGCACAGGGTTAGCCCAAGAACTGAAGATTTGTCTTAGTTTCCTTGTTTGAGGATGGTATCAAGAATTGATGGGGGTTAGCTGGCTTCTGAACTCGGAGTGGTACCAGGGCCAGATAAGTGATGCCCGGATAGGAGTGCTGCTTAGAACTTGGGGAGACAGTAGTGATGGTGTTAGGAGAAAAGAGACTTGAGTATGCAGTGCTTTCCTTCTACCTGCCTGCTGTGGGACCCTGAGACAGTTACTTGCCCTTCTCAGTCTGCTTATGGGGCACATGATAACCTCTACTTATTAAAGCTGAATTCCTCATCAAAGTCAGTATTACACAACACGCTCGAGGCCCAGTGCTCAGTAGGTTACTGCAGTCTGCCTGCTCTGGGTTTTGGTCTCCACGGCTGTTGTGAGCAAATACTAACAAGACGCACAGAATGTTGTGAGCAGGGGACAGACAGACAATGCATTTGGGATTTTTATATTTAAAAATTTGCCTCTTTCATTATACTACGACTCTGGGTGTCTCCTCCTGCGTAATTATAAATTATATACAAACAAGTATAGCAGGCTCCTAGGTTTTGGATGCTGAAATAATGTCATAGTTGCCAGGAAATTTTCTTTGTCCATATTTAGTAAATGAACAGGCTTCTCCGGTGAGAAATGATCCGTGCGGGAAAATGTGATTTAATGGCCCCAGCAAGGGTAGTGTTTGCATTTGGTATCGAAGTGAATGGAGCCTAAGCAGCCTAGCCCAGCCTACGTGGGTCATGATGGGAGTTGGCAGTAAAATGCCGCCGTTTGATGGTGAGATGAGGGACTCTCATTCGAGACCACCTGGAGCGCAGGGATCTAGATCACAGTAGGTTCCCCCGAGGAGCCAGGTCTGACAGGCAGAAAGCACACGCAGGAAGAGAAAAGCGCATCTCTCTTGCTTCCCTCACTTCACGCCGGCGGGGGACACGTTGAGCTGTGTCGGTGGATGGCCAGAAGCTGTGCGCACCGACTGACATTTGTTTCGTCTGGCCCGGGGAAGTGATGCTTCCCTTGCTGGCCCTAAACCGAGGTTGATCTGAGTGGAACTGCTCCCGTGCTGGCTTGTGGTTCGAGGGTTTTTTGTGGTGTTTTTCCAGCATTGTGCTTCATTTTGCAAATCATACCAGGGTGAAAGAGACACCTGGGAGGATGCATCTTTGTGTGATTTAACTTGTCGATGGTCACTAGCTACCCAATCAAGTCTTAAGTGGCTGTAGCTGGCTGGAAAGTTAATTGCTGACGGATGCAGTGTGCACATTAGATTTCAGATGTTAATTTTCTAAATTCTGGCCTCTTAAAAATTCTTTAGTTGGTTGTAGCCATGGAAGTCTGCTGGGTCCCGGGATTGGCTGAACATTTCTTTGTTGGAAACAAATATTTATGAAGCTCTTGCCAGAAGAGAAAAAGGGATGCGCTAATCTTCCCATCCGGCTTACTGTTCATTTCAGTGTCTCCACGTATGGAGAGAGACCAGCAGACACGAGCACATCAACCCTCCTGCTTTCCTCATACCCTCTCCTCCTTCTCCTCTTCTTTCCACTGGAAGGCACCCAGTTTTGCATGTGTCATCTCTCTGTCTCTCCTTCCTGCTCAGCCCCCAGAGGTAGATGTCATTTGAGTAGATTGTTTCAGGTGAGACTCCCCCCACCGCTCCTTGACAAAGGGTCTCCCTATGTAATTCAGACCGCCTTGAACTCACTATGTAGCCCAGGCTGGACTCAGATTCACTGCAGCCCTCCCACCCCAGGCTGCCAGGTGCTGGAACCACAGGTATGTGTCTCCACACCCGGCAGAGGGAGAATCTTTTCTAAGTTGTAAGATAAGAAAGCTAAATTAACCCAGGTAGTTAGTTACATTCTAGTTACTCCTCAGGGGTGATGTCATTCAGCATCGATCATAGTCTCCCGACTGTTAAATATGAGGAAGAAGCACTAATGGCAGCACTCCTTACTCTTATTGCAGTGCTTTGAGGTGTTCTGTTTTTCACACCTGTGATCTTATTGGCTGAGCGGTTATTTTGCGCCCAAGGAACAAACCAGTGGTGACGTCTGCAACATCCGTAGTGGCTTCACCTTCCTGGTCATTCTTGGCCCAGCTTGCCGTGGGCTGGTGAGGGTATTGGCCTCTCACCTTGAGCTGACTGATGTCTTAATTTGACCCAGCATCAGTTCTGCAGTGGCAGGAAGGCAGGACGGGGACATGGGACAGGAGTAGCATATCGACAACAGGTTCTATCTCATGTTAACCATGAGATGAATGTGTGTACACGAGTCGAGCAGCTGCCAGCCAGTTCCCAAGCGCTCTGTCCTAGCCAGCTCCTCCCGCTCCTCGCCTTTGGCTTCGCTGCCTCGGGCCCCATCTGCTGGTTGTAACCAGGCAGATGATTGCGGGCTGTCCTCCAGCACCACGGCGCCGGAGCCATCTGTCTCCTGATGGTGCAGCAGGGTTTCAGAGGACGGGTCTTAATTGTTTCTTTAAGATTCAAAAATACCGTGTACTTCCCAGAGGGGTATTTCTGTGTCTTTGAAATGCAGTTTTTAAAAAAAGTAGCCGCGGGATCCTGAATCCTGATTACCACTCCTCCCCCGCCAAAGCATGTGTGAGACTCTGTCTGGGTCCTGTCAGTTTGTAATGATCTATGCTAATGCCCAGGGTGTTGAGAGTGATGTATCATGGGCCTTGAAATACTTTTTGATAGTATTATTTCCAAAAGATGAGAAGTATAAAACAAGAGTCCTTTATTCTGAGAACATGGAAAGAGAGAACCAGCACCCCCGACCCCTGGGGTCTGGCTTTCTCTCCTGGAGTCTAGCTTTCTCTCTGGCGGACACTTGTGGCGTCCGGGTATGTAAGTAGCCTCTGTTTGGGGTGGAACCTAAGGGGGTATCAGGGATGCAGGGATAGCTCATTGGTCCTAGATTTGGCACCATAGGTAAGTTCCCAGGGGTGGGGAAGATGACGTCACAGGTAAATTCCTAGGGGTGGGGGACATAGGAGCTTCCTGGTTCCTCTTGAGGCTTTTCTGGCTACAGAGTCCTGTCTGGGCCAAAACCCTTTCACTTTTCAGCTATAAAAATTGCGAAGTTTTAGTGCATGAGTAGTTGTTGTGTTTGTGATGTGAATCTTACATGGGTAAGGAGTAATTGTGTTTTTACTTGGCATGTTGCTTGAAGATTTCAGGTCTCCTGAGACAATGCAGTGGGATTGTGTGAACGCATCTCTGCTGTTTTTCTGTACATTGATGTCTGGATGTGTCTTTAATCACGAACCCAAGGAACCTATTTTCATTGTGAACGCTGTGACTCCCCTGTCAGAATTAATTATTATTCTGTGCTCTGGCCTTTCCGTGCCTCTTTAGCGTTGAGAGCCTGCTGTGTATTCAGTGATGGGTTTCACATCTTCTCTCTCTCCCTGGAGGGTTGTCCTAAGACAAGAGATTCCATTTATTTATATGTGCATTTTTCATAAAAAAATTTTGCATTTCAGCATTTGAATGTTGTAGATTTTCTTGATGAAAACATTAATGGAAAATAATTTTACCCACAAGGACATTCTTGTAACAGGGACTCTTAAGATGGTTTTGCAAATAAAAGGGAAAATTTGTCATGTGAATATTTTGCCTTATTAACACATCTGCTCTTTGCAAAGATGTGTGTGGTCAGTGAGGTATGCCTAGAACTTGGAGTGCTCTGTTGCTTTGTTTTCGGTTTTTTGAAACGTGGTCTCATTGTATAGTTCAGGCTGCTCTTGAACTCTCGATGCACAGGCTGGCCTTGAACTCATGGCGATCCTCGTGCTTATAGCCCTCCAGTGTTGGGCTTCAAGGCATGTGCCACCATCCCCAGCGGCATTTAGAGCTTTGTCTTAAGGATTTTGTAAATAGACTTGTCCTTTTGCGCTGTCAGAGGCATGTGACGGACCAGAAAATTCAAAGAAACACATTTCTTGAAGGACAAAGAATATTGTCTGAATTGTGTGTTGTTTTTTCTGCTTTGCTTTTTATTCATGGTATTTGATTCAAATAAGAAGGTCAACAGTGGTTGAGTAAAAGAAAGGGGAAACGTGGTTCTCTGTGTGATACCCAGACGTTTCTGCCAGGGGCGGAGGTCAAATGCTTCAGCATCTGTTTGAATCATACCCAGTGCATTTGTGTTTTAGGAGATGAAGAAGGAAAATGCCTTCCTGAGGAATCAGTCTGAACAAAGGGCCAGAGAGGTCAGCCACCTGGAGGAGGAGCTCCAAAAGGTCCGAGCCTGTTTGAGTCAGAGCCAGAACTTCGCGGAAGAACTGAGGGGTGAGCGGATGCAGATCTGTCCAGTCCTCAGCTGTGAGCCTGTGAGCAGACAGGGTCCTGCCAGAGTAGTGACACCTTGAACTTTTCCGTGTAGTCCCCCTAAAGATGCCTGCAGACACGTGGAGAAAGTTTTCTGTCTTCCACTTGTAGTTCCAGTGTGACAGTTGAACTTTTAAAATTTGAAGCAGCACGAGTTCCAAGATACCTGGTTTTTAGAATCACTTTAGAATCACTCTTTAGAAACCAAAGAGTGAATGTGTTCCATACAGAACTGCATCTCCCCCAAGGGCCATTCTTGGGGTCTTCAGTGGGTCACTGACATCCACATGACCCTTCATTTACCACCATCTCCTTTGCAGCACAAAACCCCGACACTGGGTGCGTGGTTTCCATGCCGCTCGTGCCCTCTGTATTTTGACAGCTTCCTGGGTGAATGATTTCCTAACTTTCAAGCCAAGATGAATCACAGCAGATGAATCCATATTTATTTCACATTTCTTTTTCCCTTCCTTTTTCACAGTGGTTTTTCTCACCTAGTCTAGGAATTTCTTTTAACTATATAGCCTTCCAATGTGCGTCACACTTCTCAGTGATGATTTTTATTTTAATTTTTGTGGTTTTTTTGGTACTGGGGGTCAAACTAAGGACCTTGTGCTTACCACACGGCCACTTGTGCTGCTGAGCTAAAATCCTGGCAAACTTTTGTAATTTTTGAGATGGTGTCTCATTGTGTTTCCCAGGCTGATCTCCAAGTTTCATCTTTTGCCTCAAGCTCCCGAGTGGCTGGGACTAACCCTCCTTGAGAGACCTTTCTTTCTGTTTTCTACAGCAGCACATAGAAAGGTTCATCCTGAAGGAGAGCCATCAGAGTGTGTAGTGACTGGGGTGTTTTTTAGTGGTCACCAGTGTCATTGTTTGAGGTCCTGCTGAGCAGAATAGACAGAGGTGCTTAGAGATTGTCCCAAAGCTGTCAACTCTCAGGGTTTGGTTTACGATCAGAGGATTAGAAGCACATGTAGCTTTCCATTCAGTATTAAATCTGAGATGGTAATTTTTGCCACTTTTGTCACCTGCCACTGAGGATCACAATGCTCAATCTCCCCTATATGTTAGCGCTGATTATAATGAATGAGTGTGAATCTGAAGCCTTACTGTCACTGTTCAGTGACACTGCGTGGTTATTCCCAGCCAGCATGGGCTGTGAGTAAAGGTGAATCATTGGATAGAAAGTAAGGTAGTCATGGAAGTTTCCAGATGACTCACCCTTACCATGAGAGACTGAAATGGGGGTGAAATTGTCCCCAAGAATACTCCCATGTAGGCTGTAAGAATTACTGATATATAGTATCCTGGATTTCTGGCTGAAATGGTAGAAGAACTCTTTAGTTTTCATAGACATCAAATTGCCTGAGTCAACTGGGATATTTTCATTTTAGTACTGTTCTGTTTTCTCTCTCTCAATAAATGGGGAAAAATATAGCTATATGAGTTTGTTTGGATCTTTTAGAGTTTATAGTTTTTTAATGGTGTTGTTGTGGTGCTTGGCGTTGAACCCAGGGCCTTCCGCATGCCAAGCAAGTGCTCTATTACCATGCTGTCCCCCAGCACTAGGGTCCAGAAGTCTAATAGAATACATGCTTACCAAAGACACTGACAAATTTTTTTGGTTCTTTTTTAAATAGCTAAGAATACCTCTCAGGAAACTGTATTAAGAGAGCTTCAAGAAAAGATAAATCAGCAAGAAAACTCCTTGACTTTAGAGAAACTGAAACTTGCCTTGGCTGATCTGGAAAAGCAGCGCGATTGTTCCCAAGACCTTCTGAAGAAGAGGGAGTGTCACATTGAGCAGCTGAACGAGAGGTTAAGCAAGACAGAGAAAGAGTCCAAAACCTTACTGAGTGCCTTGGAGTCAACAAAGAAAGAATATGAAGCACTGAATGAAGAGAAAACTCAGTTTTCTCATTGGAAAAGTGAAAATGAAAAACTTTTACATCAGATGGAGTCGGACAAGGAGGGCTTGCAGAGTAAAATCAATCACTTGGAAACGTGCCTCAAGACTCAACAGATCAAAAGCCATGAATATAACGAGCGAGTCAGGACACTGGAGATGGAAAGGGACAACCTGGGCGTGGAGATGAGAAACCTGCGCAACTTGGTCGACAGCAAGATGAGGGAGGTAGAAACGCAAAAACAGGCTTACGAAGAGCTGCAGCAGAAAGCTGAGCGCTCAGATCAGAAGCATAAGAAGGAAATAGAAAACCTGTGCCTCAAGACTTCTCAGCTTACTGCGCAAGTTGAAGACCTAGAGCAGAAGCTTCAGCGACTGTCGAGTGAACTCATGGACAAGGACCGGCATTACCAAGACTTGCAGGCTGAATGTGAGAGCCTCAGGGATCTACTTAAATCTAGAGACTCTGCTGTGCCACAGGAGGACCAGCAGAGCAGTTGTCTGGCTTTTGAGCAGAAGGCTGCCATGAATACTTCCCTTGTCAATGTGATGGGAGAACAAGGAAGCAATTCTTCAGACAGGAGCCAGTGGCTTTTAGATGCAGATGCAAGCCCCAGAAGTTTAGGCATCCTACAAAACAGAGTGGTTTCCCTGGAATCTTCCTTGGAGTCCCAAAAGCAGATGAACTCCGATCTGCAGAAGCAATGCGAAGAGTTGGTGTACATCAAAGAAGAAGAAATAGAAGAAAATCTCAATAAAGCGGAACAGATGCATGAAAGCTTTGTGGCCGAGACCAGCCAGCGCATTTGCCAGTTACAGGAAGATACTTCTGTTCATCAGAGTGTTATCACAGAAACTTTAGTTGCCCTTGAGCACAAGGAGAAAGAGTTGGAACTCTGGAAAGCAAGATTAGAAGCTGAGCAAGCAGAGATTCAAGAATTAAAAAAGAGCAACCAGCTCCTGGAAGACTCTCTAAAGGAGCTGCAGCTTTTATCTGAAACCCTGAGCTCAGAGAAAAAGGAGATGAGTTCCATTATTTCTCTAAGTAAAAAAGAAATCGAAGAGCTGGCCCGAGAGAATGGGACTCTCAAAGACATGAATGAAATCTTAAACCAAGAGAAAATAAACTTACTACAAAAAAATGAGAAATTTTCCAACTGCATAGAGGAACAAGAGAAGAGCATTTCAGAGCTGTCAGCTCAGTACAAACAAGAAACACTCATTTTACTACAGAGGTGTGAGGAGACCGGACGTGCATTTGAGGATCTTGGTGAAAAATATAAAGCAGCACAAGAAAAGAACTCGAGGTTGGAATGCTTGCTAAGCGAATGCACCAGTGTTTGTGAAAGTAGGAAAAATGAATTGGAGCAGCTCAAGGAAACATCGGTAAAAGAGCACCAAGAATTCTTAACAAAATTAGCTTTCGCCGAAGAACAAAACCAGAAACTAATACTAGAGTTTGAAGTAGCGCAGCAAGCTTTGAAGTCTGAGATGAGGGACCTCCACATCAGTTCTAAGAGTGAGGCTGATGGCTTAAAGCAAGAAATCATGACTTTAAAAGAAGAACAAAATAAGATGCAAAAGGAAGTTAATGACTTATTACAAGAGAATCAGCAACTGGTGAAGTTAACAAAGACTAAACACGAGGATCAGCATCTCAAATTGGAACCCGTTAGAGACTCTGTGAAAGAAACAGAGGATGAGATAAATGCATGCAGTTTCCAGCTTCAGATGGATCCTGGAGATAGAGACGCTGCTCCGAGCAGTTATAACGCACAGCTGGTACAGTTAGAAGCTATGATAAGAAATATGGAATTAAAACTTGAGGAATGTGAGAAGGAGAAAGAGCACCTGCAGCAGGAGTTACAGACACTGAGAGGAGACTTAGGAGCTGGAAATGTGCACGGCTGTTTGCCACAGGAAATGAGCGACCTTACGGATGGGGAAGTGGATGCAGAAGGAAAGTACAGTTTAGGGCTTTGCGAGCTGTCCCCAAGGCAGGGTGACAGTGCACAGGTGCAGTGTTCTCTCCAGGCAGCCTTGAGCAAGCTGGAGGAGCTGGAGAAGATTTGTGAAGTGCTGCAGGTGGAGAAGCTGCAGCTGGTGTCGGAGCTAAACAACTCAAGGTCAGAGTGCATCACAGCAACCAGTAAAATGGCAGGAGAGGTAGAGAAGCTAGTGAATGAAATGAAAATATTAAATGATGACAGTGGCCTTCCCCGAAGTGAGTCTGTGGAAGAATCGCTGACCAGTGAGTCCAAAGGGCAACAAAATGAGCAGACACCTGTGTCCTTGATGCCTTTGGATGATAGCAACTCCTATGAGCAGTTGACCTTGTCAAGCAAGGAGGTTCAGACGCACTTTGCTGAACTGCAGGAGAAATTTTCCTCTTTACAAAGTGAGCACAAGATTTTACACGACCAGCACTGTCAGATGAGCTCCAAGATGTCGGAGCTGCAGTCCTATGTCGACACACTGAAGGCCGAAAATTCAGCCTTGTCAATGAACCTGAGAAATCTGCAGGTTGACTTGGCAAAGGAGATGAAGCCAGAGGGACCTATTCTTTCCCTGTCCTTCTCTTGCGTGACTGACAGCCCCAGCACGACAAGTGTGGGAGAGTCCTCTTTCTACCGGGATGCTTTAGAGCACATTGAAGGTGCATCTCTTTTGAATCATTTAGGGGAGAGTGTATCAGCAAACACCAGCCTGGAGGAGGAGAGGACTCTGTCCACAAAAGAAGTTCTGACCACCCCAGAGAAGAATGTTGAGGAGCTTGAGACCCTCTGCCAGGGATACCTGCAGTCCCTCAAGAATCTGGAAGAGAAAATGGAAAGTCAAGCAGCGACGAAAGATAAGGAGATCCAAGAGCTGGGGCAGTTGTTAAGTTCTGAAAGGACACAGCTGGACAGCCTTAGGAAGCAGTACTTGTCCCAAAACGAGGAGTGGCAACGGAAGCTGACGAGCGTGACTCTGGAGATGGAGTCCAAGCTGGCGGCGGAGAAGCGGCAGACAGAGCACCTGGTCCTGGAGCTGGAGGTGGCGAGGTTGCAGCTGCAGGCACTGGAGCTGAGCTCTCAGTCCTTGCTTGGAGCCGACATAGAAGGTGTAAGAACCTGGGTTTGTGTGCGGTTTTTCAGTTTGGGTGACTAGCCAGCCCTCCGTAGATGTTTATTGAGTTGAAATCAACCTGAAATTGAAGTTAGAAGGTTTTTAAGAGTTTAGACAAATAAATAGATATATCAAAGCTTTTTTTTGCCAAACCAGCCAGAACTGAAGAAACGTAAGGGAACTTTGAGGAATACATTTATATTATGATTAGATTTCAACACTAGTATATGGAAAATTCCTCAAGTCTGGAGAAAAGGGTATCACAGAGTCAGCAGGTCTTTCTTTCTTTTTATTGTCTTTTTGAGACAAGGTTTCAGTGTGCAGTTCAGGCTGGCCTCAAACTTGCAGCAATCTTCCTGCTTCAGCCTTCTGAGTGCTGGGATTACAGGCGTGAAACACTATGCCCAGCTAAGTCAGCAGGTCTTCAGAGTGTGTGTGCTCGAACTGTGGGTTCACAGGACGTACTTAGATATTATTAAGAGTTTCTGGCTAGTAACATGACAGGTTTTTGACTTTTTTGGACTATTTTTTAATGTCAAAGCATTCTAGTCATGAAATAGAACTACTTTACATATTGCTGAATTTTCCCTAACAGTTTGCTGCGGTACACATGGGTGAGTTTGTATCAGTCATTTCAACAGGCGATTCATTGTTTTTTGAGTCTATTCTTGTTTCATTACTTCAACTTTGCACTTCTCATCAGCAGCTTTTCTAACAGCAGGAGCAGTGTGTGAGTCTCACTGTCTGCCTCTGTGAGCTGGGGGACAGCTCATGGTGGGGGGCAAGTGTCATCACAAGAGCAGCCTTCCTTTCATAGATGAGAAGGAAACAAGCCCACATGCAGTTTACCCAGGAATGGGCAGAGTGGGTGCTGGACAGATAGGGGTGAAGCCTTGGGCCAGGTGGCTGGTCATGAACCTGCACGGCCTTCTCTGATTAAGAATATCATAAACACTGAAGATGAAGGCTGGACATTTTGCATGGAATTTATTCATTCTATTTTTGATAATCACAGAAGGACTCTAGTCTTTAAAGTGTGTAGAATATTCCTAGCAAGGAAGAAAAGGTGAAATTTCAATGTGTTAAAATTTAGTTGCATCAAGAAAGGGTTCGTCTTCCTGGTAAATACCATGCCCAGGGCCTTGTACATAGGTGGCACCTCCTGAATGTTTACCTGTGTTGAGTCACAGTTGGGACAGAGGGAGAAAGATGGGAGCTTGTGGCGAGGATGTGCTGTTTGGGGACAAGTGCTTGGCAGAGGCTGGACGCCATTTCCTGTAACGTAATGAGAGAGGCCTTCAGTTCTTGAAGAATAACATGCATTCCTCTTCTGTGTTATGATGACAGGCTATTGAAGATCAAAATGATGGCTGTGCCTTAAAAGAATTGGAAGAAAATACTTCAGAAATTACGGAAGAAACACCACAGCAGGACAATCACCAGATATGTGAAGAGGCTGTCCGGCAGGACCTCCATGTAGAGACTGAGGTGGCCTCTGGGACCCTGCCTGTTACACCTGGAGCTGGGGAAAGGCCCTCAGAAACCAGTGATGGGGCAGCAGCAGGAGACAAAAGCCAGGGCTGTCTCGAGCACACTCCTGAGCTCTTGTCTTGTGACTCTCATGCTTTAGTACCCATGGAGTTTGTGGAGAATCACGTGTCCATCCAGCATCTCCAGCTGCAGGTCAAGGAGACAGTGAATGAGAATCTGAGATTGTGTCATGCTGTAGAGGACCAGGACAGAAAAGTTCAAAGTTTGCTAAGTGAAATAAAAGACTTAGGTGCAAAACTTGAGTCGCAGGAACTACAACTAAAGACCAAGATTGAAATATGCTTACAATTGGAAAGAATAGTCGAGGAACTCCAGAAAGAAAAATGTGACTTAACTGAAAGACTGGAAGCCTTCTTGTGTGCTGGCCAGGAATTAGGCCCGAGTATAGAGACTTCCCAGACCCTCAGTTCTAATTTAGAAATGGGCACCAATGAATCCTCAGAGGAAGTAGTTGAAGAGAACGTCACCAAGGTGGATGAGAACTGGAAGGAGCGATTTCTCCACCTGGAAGATGAGCTGGACAGGATCAAGGCTGAGAACGCAAGAGCTGAATGTCGCGCCCTTGCCCTGGAAACCGATTTGGAGGTGGCTCAAACTGAGAAGCTGTGTCTGGAAAAAGAAAATGAAAATAATCAGAAAGCGATTGTCCGCCTTGAAGAAGAACTCTCTGTGGCCACAAGCGAGAGAAAACACCTTGATGGAGAATTAGAGGCTATGAAAAAAGAAAACCAAACCCTGACCCAGATGGGTGAGATCATGAAGGAGAAAGTCCAGGTGCTAGAGGCTGAGATCAGGGACAAAGCGGCTGGCCTTGAGGCTCTGTCCTCACAGGTGAGCCAGCTGTTGGAGGACAAAGGTGACCTGCAGGAGCGGCTGCAGAGGTTGGAAGGGGACTCCCAGGCACTGTCTTCCGCAGTGCAGGAGCTGGAAAGCCAAGTCAGACAATTGGAGGAGGAGAAGGCATCATTGGTCAGGGAGGCTAAAAGCCTGGAGGCCAGACTGAGGGAGTTGGAACAGGAAAGGCTGATTGAGTCCAGAGCCCTGGAGGTGGCACGTCTGGAGAAGGATAAGTTTGCAGAGCGACTCTGCTCCACCCAGGAGGAGGTGCACCAGCTGCGGGAGGGCATGGAGAAGCTGCGTGTGCGCATTGAGGCTGACGAGAAGCGGCAGCTCGACGTCCTGCAAAAGCTGCGAGGAAGTGAGAGGGAGAACGATGTGCTCCGGGACAAGGTGGAGGGTCTCCAGCGGGAGCTGCAGATGTCCGAGGAGAACCAAGAGCTGGTGATCCTGGACGCCGAGAACGCCAAAGCTGAGGTGGAGATCCTCAGAGCACAGGTGGAGGAAGTGGGTGAGAGCCTGCGAGATTCCCAAGCAGACCTTGCCGTGCTCAGGTCGGAGAAGGGAGATCTGGCCAAGCAGCTGCAGGAGAAGCAGGGTCACGTGGAGGAATTAGAGGCGCTGGTCTCCTCGCTTAGAAGTCTGGTAGAAGAGAAGGAGCGGGCCAGAGTGCAGATGCAAGAAGACTCAAAAACGATGGTGGAGACAATTCAGGCGCAATTGAGAGAGCTGACTGAGGAGGTGGCAGCCTCGTGTGAGGACCACGGGACCCCAGAGGCCAGGGAAGAGAACCTGGACACCCCAGGGAGCGAAGTGGCACGGTTGAGGGGCCACATCGGGAGGCTCAGAGCCTGTGTGGAAGCTGATCGCAAGGAGCAGCTTCAGGTCCTAGAGCAGCTGAAGGAAAGCCAGTGTCGCGAGGACTTGCTGAAAGGCAGAGTTGAGGGTCTTGAAAGGGAGCTGGAGCTGTCGGGGAGAGACCTAGAACAGGCAGTTCGTGAGGCCGAGAATTCCAGAGCCGAGGTGCAGACACTCAAAGCAGAAGTCCAGGAGCTATCCCAACACCTCAGAGACCTGGAAGCCGATCTTGTTAACATAAAGTCTGAAAAAGAAAAGCTGACTAAGGGCCTGCGAGAAGAGCAAGCGCAGGTGTCTGAATTAGAAATCTTAAACTCTTCATTGGAAAAACGGTTGCAAGAGAAAGAGGACCAGAAAGTTCAGATGCGAGAGGAATCTGAAACTGCAATGCACATGCTTCAAGCGCAAATAAAACTGCTGACTGAGAGGACAGCTCTGTCCAGTGACCTGGAGGCCTGCAAGATCAAGGAGCAGACCCTGAGCAGTCAAGTGGATTCTCTTGAGCTGGAGAAGGCTCAGTTGCTTCGGGACCTCGAGACCAAGGAGCAGACCCTGAGCAGTCAAGTGGATTCTCTTGAGCTGGAGAAGGCTCAGTTGCTCCAGGACCTCGAGACCAAGGAGCAGACCCTGAGCAGTCAAGTGGATTCTCTTGAGCTGGAGAAGGCTCAGTTGCTCCAGGACCTCGAGACCAAGGAGCAGACCCTGAGCAGTCAAGTAGATTCTCTTGAGCTGGAGAAGGCTCAGTTGCTCCGGGACCTCGAGACCAAGGAGCAGACCCTGAGCAGTCGAGTGGATTCTCTTGAGCTGGAGAAGGCTCAGTTGCTCCAGGACCTCGAGGAAGCCAAACATAATTATATTGTTTTGCAATCTTCTGTGAACAGCCTCATGCAGGAAGCTGAAAACAGCAAGCAGAAACTAGAGGAGAAGGAGGAGGAGCTCAGTTGGCTGAAAGGTCAAGTTCAAGACCGGGAGCAGCTCGCCTCCAAGCTGGCGCAGGTGGAAGGCGAGCAGCAGCGCTGGCAGGAGCAGAAAGCGGCACTGGGGACTCTGGCTGTGGAGCTGGAGCAGAAGGTCCAAGAGCTGCAGTCCAAGAACCACGCCTTGCAGGACTCCTTTGAGGTGTTGCAGAATTCGTGCAAGGAGCTGGAGAGTGAGCTCACATCGACAAGAGGGGAAAACACGTCCTTGGTTGAAAAAGTGAGTGGCCTTATATTGGTTTATATTTAAATATGTGGTTGGGGAGTAAAATTTCTCCAAATATGATGCCTACTGGGTGGCACGGAACTTGGAAAGGTGTTAGGTTTGTGGGGATGTGGCGCTCCCTTCTGGGGAAGCTTGGTGCCTTGCATGCCTCTGATTCTTCCAGCTCCCTTATTTTGGAGTAGCTTCCCCGGACCCAGTTGAGGACCCATTAGAGACCATAGTGATACTACTTAGGGTTGGAGGTGATCCTCTCCCTTGCTCCTTTTTACTTTTTAGAGAAATTACTTTTAAAGATACTGATATGGTTGTAGCCCAAAGCACACAGGGATCGTGGAGCATGTTTGTCTGGGGGCTCTGTGCCTGGAGACCCTTCTTTAATGCCCCTTTCTTTTTTTACACTGCTCTTTTGTTTGCTAATGGCCAAAGGGGAGTTCTGCCTTCCGAGAGGCTGAATGAGTCCAAATTATTTACCTATTGTTCTGGGAAAGTGATTCCTTCTTTTTTTTTTTTTTTTTTTGTCTTTTTCATTTTTATCGGTACCAGGGATCGAACTCACGACCACCTGCTTGCAAGGCAGGTGCTTATGCCGCTGAGCTAAACCCCCAGCCCCGTGATTCCTTCTTATAAAATCTTTACTCAACAAAGAATAAAAAAAATGAATATCAAAAACTATAATTCACCCTAACTGTTGTACACCTTGCAAGAGAGAACAGTTAGCCGAGAGGCTGAGATAAACTGCACCACGTGGCTTCAACTGCAAGGGGCAAATGCGGGCAGCAGAACCTTTGCAGGTTTGTACTGAGCATAGCTCTGCTGGGGGTGGAGGTTGAGACCCAGGAACTGATAATCAAAAGTACTGCCTCATAAATTATTCTCTGGTATTCAGTTAAAATTAATAACACATGTGTGGGAGTTTTTGACTTCTCCTTAGTACTGTCCTTTAGATCTCTACTGAGAAGCGAAGGCAGGCTTACTGGCAGGTTTGAAAGATACCTTGCACAAACAGGGGAAGGGTGCATTAGCCAGGAGGCCACTGTTTTGTTACTGGAGGCCACGGTCAGTGTCAGGAAAGGCTGCCCCAGAGGTGTTACTGTGAGTGAAACAGAGCCCCAAAGCAGCTGCTAATGAACTCTGAATTACAGGTAAGCACCTTGACTGCCAGGGAGGCTGAGCTGCAGGGGAAAGTGCAGGATATGGCACAGAAGACAACGAAGCTAGAAGAAGAATACAGCGGAGAGAAAACTAGGCTCACGGAAAAGTTAAATGCGCTGTTGGAAGAAGTAAAGAGCAGCAAAGTAAGTTTCTCTGTTGTAGCTTCGTAGCCGGCAGCTAATTCAGTGTGCGCACTCCTGGATGGCTTTTGTAAGACCTGAAAGGTGCTGAACTGTTCTTAGCTTTTGAACCAAAGTAATCCCGGGCTTGTGTTGTGCTCAGACTTAAGAGCGTTTAGTGCCATCATGAGCCTCCGAGCCATGGCCATGATCTTAGGAGCCAGGATGGATGCTTGTGATGCTAAGGACAGATGGTGACACCACAGGTGTGTCAGGGAAGTGTAGGAAGCCGAGTGTGGGGTCTCTGCATCCTCGGATGTCATGTTTATGATGTATGCTTCTTTATTTCATAGCTGCTTTTCCTTATGCCGTATAAAAGGAGATTCCAGGTTTTCAGGGGGTTTCTTGGTTTTGCAGGCAGACCACCTAAAATATGTAGATAAGCTGAAGAAGGAAAATGAACGTGCTCTTGGGAAAATAAAGTTGTTGCTCAAATCCTGCAAACAGCTGGAAGAGGAGAAGAAAATGTTGCAGAAAGAGCTGTCTCAGTTAGAAGCGGCGCAGAAGCAAAATACAGGTGGGTGCGGCAGTGGGAAGGCTGGCTACCTCAGACAGCTTCCCGTTAGTGCAAGAGCACACCTAGGTGTGCGTGCAGAGGAGCTATTTTTAGAGCTGTGTTGTGAGCCTGTTTTCAGTAGCTCTTCACTTTCCAGTTTCTGAGTGTGTGGCTTTGCTTGGGCTCCCTCCCTGTAGGACTTTGAACAAAGCCTGGTTTTGCAGAGGAGTTGTTTCATCTTCTTCAAAACTTGAAAACACTCCAGTGCCACCTTTTTTTCATTGTTTGTTGTTTTTCTTTCTTTGTGTTTTTGAGATAGGGTCTTGCTATGTCATTCAGGCTGGCCTTAAATGTACTAGGTAGCCCCAGGTGGCCTCGAACTCACAGTGGTCCTCCTGCCTCAGCCTCCCGCGTGCTGGCATTATAGGCATGCATCACTATGCCTGGCAGGTGTTGCCTTTTGCCTGTGAGCCTGTAAGAAGAGTTTTTCACGTTCAGGTCCATTGAAGTGTAGTCTCTTCGTTACAGGCGGGTTGACCTTTAATGACATTGCTAACTTGTGAGTAGCTGGTTCTGACCTGGCCCAGCCTCATGGGTCAACTAAGAAGGTGCAGGGAACTAAATTTTGGGGTCTGTAAGCAAAATTTAAAAATCTGAGAGATACCTCTCCTTGTGTGCACTCCCAAAGGGACAGGCTCCCCTGGGGGGGGGGTGTGACAGCGGCTGGCATGAGTGGCTGCCATGCGCCATAGCTTGACAGGGCCATCAGCTGTGTCTCTGTTTTGGAGTAAGTTGGAATTTTGGAGATTTTTTTTTTTCCCCGATAGATTTAAAGCCACCCATGTCAGATAATGACTAAAGCTTCATATTGTTTCCCCAAACTCCTGTTCTCCAGGACTCCAGTGCCACTAGGACTTCCCCTGTCACTGGGTCCCATGGGTCCCTACAGCTGTACAACAGAGATCTGACTTCTGTTGTTCATTTGCTTATTGTGGAAAGAATGGATGGGTGAAAAGAAGGTAGACATGTTTACTTATTTCAACTCGTGTATCTCCTTCCTCAAGGAAGTTTAACAGGTTGACTGACAAAGGAGGTAGAGATAGGGGTGGATTTTATTTAAGTGACTCCCCAAGAATTCGTACCCGGATATGATACATGCCAAAATGAGAGTCCTCTGGACTCTAACACAAACAGATAATTCTCCCGAATCGGTCTGGTAAGGTGGGGAGCAGGGCTCTGAGATGCTCCCTGCCTAGTGCCAGGAGCAGCCTCCAATTGCATGTATGTGTCACTGTCTTCGGGACAGGTGCTGCTTTGGAGGCTGAGGTGGAGGAGCTCACGACCGAGATCAGAGAGCTAAAAGAAGCTCTTGAAGAAAAAGCCAAGGAAGCCGACGAGTACCTGGATAAGTACTGCTCCCTGCTGATCAGCCATGAGAAGTTAGAGCGAGCCAAGGAAATGTTAGAAACGCAGGTCACTCGCCTGAGTTCTCAGCCAGCTAAGCTCGATCCCAGTGGTTCACCTCTGGCAAGTTTGGTCACGCCAGGGCCATCTGCAGTCCCTTCGGCTGGTGAAAGGAAGATGTCATCTGGCCGAAGTAAAGCTGCTGGCAAGAGGCAGAGGTCCAGTGGGGCCTGGGAGAGCGGAGGAGGACTGACGCCTGCCACTCTTGAGACCTTTCCGAAAAAAAGTCGGAAAGCAATCAGAAGTGGTAGCCCCCACCCTGATCAGGATGAAGAAGAGTTCGAGCCTGAAGGACTCCCCGAAGTTGTAAAGAAAGGTATACGTACTTTGAAAACAGTATCCCAGGCCCCGGCTGCAGCTCTGTGATAGAGCATGTCCCTAGCGTGTGTGAGAGTTTTGTCCCCAGCTCTGCAAAACAGCAAAAAACCCTGAAAATTACACATTTTTGGGGGGGAACTTTTATATAATTATTCACATATTAAAAAAATAGAAACACTGACTTCTTAGAGTTTTGGATTATTGTGCAGTAAATCTAGCTAACCTTCCTGAAAAAATGACTAGGATTAATTCCTCATGACCCATTGCAGAGAAGAGCTGGGGGCTTTGAAAAATCATTGGCGGAAACCTGCTTAGAATTTGATATTTCTTCAGGGACTCCCCACTGTCTTGGTTACTTTTCTCTTATTTGCTGAGGGAAAATACTTGATGCCCAGAATGAAGGAAGGAAAGATTTTTTTAGCTAATAGTTCGTGGAGATTTCAGGTCATACTCAGCTGGCACCAAAGCAGGTTGGCGTGGCTAAGTGGCTGCCCATTCATGGCAGCAGCCAGTAACCAGTGAAAGCCCAAAACGTGAAAGCCCACCTCCTTCCTCCCCTATGCTGTATGCCAGTTACCTGCCCCGGGCAGGTGCAGCACCAGGCAATGAGCCAATCACAAACACTAGACTCGGTCACCCCCATGACTGCATGAGGCTTTGGGGGACATGTAAACAAACCAGCACGCCGCTCTCCCTTGTGTCTGATCCAGACAGTGGGTGAGGAGGACACTGGGCCTGAGGCTGGTGCCACTGAACACGCTTTTTATTTTTCATGTTTTTTTAAACTCAGTGCTGGCCTAGGTGCGGCCATGGGATGCAGGTCTGGCCAAAGAACCACCTGTTACTGGTGGTGGTGTTCAGAGGTTAGAAATTTCCATAGCAGTCAAATTGGCAACATCTGGGCACATAGATGTTCTCTCTCTGGGTTTAGTCTTATTTTATTACTGAAGCAGGGTTGCACAGAAGTCCTCCTCCCACAGTCAAAACTCTGTCCTTGCTGTAGACCGCTGGAAACATGGTCCTGAGTAATTGTAGCGAAGAGTCAGCTCTCTCCTTCTGATGGGTGACTTTTATTTGTAAAGGCATAAAAAGAGCCACTGCCTCAGCCCTGAGTACCTCTCGGGAGTGCAGTGCGCTGTCTCTTATTCTTCGTGGGGTGGTGGCCTTTTCTCCTTGTTGTCCCTGTCTGCTGTCTGGAAGAAGCTGACACAAGCCAGAGGCGTGGTCACTCTCGGAAGGCCAGGCTGCCTCTACCTTGCCCTGCGGCTGAGTGGCTGCCTGAACACTGGTATTGTTCTCCCTTTCCTCCCTTGAAGTATTAGCTGGCTTTTTGGATTTTTTTTCCACGTTGCCCTCTTTCTCTCTTTTTTTCTTCCCCCAATCCAGATTTTATAATAATGTCTGCTGGTGTTTTTTGATTTTAGAATATTGCAAGCTAGAATATCCACATAGGAGCAGCAAAAGAAAACTTTTTTGGTGCATCCCGCTACCTCTCCCCTCTTTTCCCATGTAGTTCTTTGTCTCTAAAAAGAGAAAACGTGGTAGTAATTCGCTGGAGTTGGTGACTTCCAGGGAAACTGAAGTGTAGTGCCCGGCCCCAGGGCTGGAAGAAAGTATTTGGAGTTACCTTGTGTGTGTTAAGACTTTGCCAAATGCGATGGTCTTGCCGCTGTGTGTGGAATTGCACCCGGCGGCCTTGACAGCCAGTGTCTTTGCCTGCAGGATTTGCTGACATCCCCTCCGGAAAGACCAGCCCCTATGTCCTGCGGAGGACCACCATGGCCACCAGGACCAGCCCTCGCCTGGCTGCACAGAAGTCTGTCCTATCTCCTCAGAGTGTGGGCAAAGAAAATCTTGCAAAGTCCCCCAAACCGACAGCTGGTGGCAGCAGATCTCAAAAGGTAAACTCTAGTGAACATTGGGTTCCAGTCTGTGACCCAGGAAGTTCCAGGGGGGTCCAGGCTTGTGTCCTACTCTGTGTCACCCCAACTCCGCAGCCCTCCAAGGCCGACCTCCTCCCTGACATGGTGTAGATGAGTTGGGGTGGGGGGGAAGAGAGTTCCAGGGTCCTGTGACAGGAGCTCATCCTCGCCTTGCCAGTGAATTCACTGGTGTGACAGTGCAGAGGAGCTGTCAGGAGGCTCTCGGGGTTTGAGGGTGGGTTCCCCTGCACCCATGGCTGTGTTTTCAAACTTCCCATTCTCATCTGCCCCCAGCTACCGAGTCTTCTTGCGACACTGTTTGCTTTCTGGAGAAAGCACTGTGTTGGTAGATAGCTAAAGGAAGAGCTGTTTCCTGGGTTTCTCTGTTGAGCTTTTTGAGGATACGGCATGATCTTTGTGACCTGTGGTACTTTATATTTGTCTTTTTTTTCTTTTTTTTTGGTACCAGGGATCAAACTCATGCTTGCAAAACAGATGCTTATGCCACCGAGCTAAATCCCCAGCCTTGTGTACTTTATAGACAGCCCAGAAAACGCTGTGTAGCACACAGAGAGCATTGCCTAACAGAGTGTTACTCCTATTTCTATAAACCAGACCGGCAGCTGCTGTTTTCGTATGCAGGCGTCAGAAAGAGCCGGGTCTGAGGTCCTGGGATAGATGCACCCCTTCCAGATGAGTGATTAGGAGTCATTCTTGCCCCTTAGCGAACTAGTGTCCATTCCTGTGTGTCTGCTGCATACGCATTCTACTTACCTCGTGTTGTGAGCTCTCAGCCAGCGGTGTCTCAGTCACTTTTCCTCCTGCTGGGACGAATACCTGACACCCACAACTTAGGAAAGGAGAGGTTCGTTCTGGCTCCTTTTCAGTCTGTAGTTGGCTGGCTCTGAGGCAGGAGGGTCCGGCACAGGGTCTGGCAGAGGAGAGGTGCCCATGGCATGGGGACAGGAAGTAGTGAGTGAAGGAAGGGACTGGAGAGGAAGGGGAGCCCTTCCTGGGTGCTTGTTCGGGGACCCACTTCTCGTAACCAGATCCGGCCTCTGTACAGCACATTGTCTGTACCTCCCCCTAGTGCAGTCTCAGAATCCCTCCCTGTGAGCCCATTTTAGATTTAAACTGCAGTAGTGGTTATTTTAAGAATGAAGAAAGTGAGACTTGTAAAGATGCAGCATCCCAGGGTTACTGCCTCCTCTCTCTGTGTCACAGTCTTGCTCTTGCTGCAGTGCCAGTGCCTCAAACTGGGGACTGTGGGAATATTGTTGGAAATTGCTAGAGAGGCTTTAAGAAGCTTTAAAATTTTGCTTGTCAGAGTTTTATGTGATCTGAGAACCTAGAACTAGCAAAAAAAAAAAAAAGCTTTTTTAAGTGTAATAATTCTTACATAAGTTTGTTCCTCATTGGAATTTTGCATGCCAAAATGCAGATGTGTTGGTGATTAGTTGTATGAAAACCAAAACACATTTGCATATTGATTTTGTTTTGTTTTGCTTTGTTTTGATTGATGTGGAAGAGTTATACACAAGTGATAGCTCTGATACATATTATACGGAAATGAATAGGGGCGAGGAAAGCCTTAAGGTTTTCTTTCAGCCTTTGAAGTGGGGCCTCCGTGACTAGACTTAGAAATACTGCACCATTTGTGTATGTTTTTCTCCTTTTCTCCTTTTGGTTTCGCTTGTGGCTCCTCCAGCAGTGCAGTACTGAAGAATGTAGCGGAGTGGGTCCTGAGTTGCCAGTGACCATGAGGAAAACTATGTAAGGCAGCTTGTGCTTCTAAAGGTTGACACTTCAAAGCCCGACCTCAACCTGGTCACACAATGCCACTGAGCTGCTCTGCATGGGTCAGGCTCGGACTCCTGGGGGGGACCAGGTCGCCTCCTGGGTGGGTGGCCAGGAGCCTCCCTCAGCCCTCTGTGTGAGAAGTGATATCCATTCCTGTAGGTCTGATATTTCCGGAGAGCAAAGGAAGAATCCATTGCTCCCTTAAACCATGACACTTAGCTAGCATTTTCCACGTCTCTTGTCTACTGTGACTTCCTTTCGTGTCACCTGTCTTCTGCATTGTAGGTAGCTGATTGTGTCTGTGGATTCACCTATGTCCGGTACCAGGATTGATGTCCACAAATCCACAGATAGCGTAGTTGTGACTGTTGTCTTAGGTGACCACAGACTTTAGATGTTTGTGAAGGCGTCTTAGGAAATCATCTTATTGGATCCTCTAGATCACCACACAGCTCATTTTTTCTTTTTCTTTTCTTTTTTTTTTTTTATTTTTTTTTATTTTTTAATTTTTATTTAAGGAGAAAAGAAAAGAAAGAAAAAAAAACAGTGAAGGGGTACAAGTTATACAGATTTACAGAATAAAAAAATGCGCAGTAGGAAATCACTAGTTAATGGATTACATATTGCCATCTTAGAAATAATTGTTCAAGTCACAAAATTAAAGCTTGTAGAGTGGACATTCCACCAATGATACTGCAAACAGTTCTGTTCAATGATCCAATAAAACTCTGTGATATCGTTTTCTATCTTATACTTTTAAATATACATGCAGTTATATAGTTTAGAGCACTTTCTTTTCCTCTCTTTTGTACAGTGACTATTACACATTTTGGGTTTCATTGCTCCCATGGTTCTTGTTGCTTTTTTGGAAGAGAGTAAAACCAAATGTGACATAACAGAACAGAATCGGTCAAGTCAAAAGGGTGGACATAATAGATAATATAAAAACATAATACAAGGTGATCAACAATGGTTACCCTAATGCCTCCCGCTATTTCTAATAGAATTGCCTATATCATTAGTTGTAATACAATTGAACAAAACCGTAAAGAATAAAACCGACAAAACCAAAACATTGGAGACATTGTAGGTCTTCAAAAGTAGATAAAAGTCAACGAGAATGGGCGTTATAATGAATCTCATTATCTTCTCAGCTGATGCCTAAACTTTCGAACCTGATACTATCCAGCAAAACAGAATATAGGAACCTCAGTCAAAAACAAGATGGTGAGAGTAATACAGGGCTTCAAATCGAGATAATAGAAAGTCAAAGTGGGTTACTATATTATATCCTGCTATATTTTTCCCTGTAATTAAATGGGTAAAAATAAAAAAGTAAATAATGGAGTGGAGATTGAGAAAAAAAGAGGGCATAACAGCGAAACAGGGCAGATCAAAACATAACCATTTAAGCAGAATAGTGTTTCACCACCAGCTAATCCTGACCCAAAAATAGTTACCATATTGACTCCCTCCCTGAAGTCCTTGAGTACAACTTCATATACTGTAGCATTAAGTATATCAAAACAATGTAAATCCATTTAAGAGAATAACAGCATTATAGAGTATTTAGAATCGACTAACAGAAAATGAACAATGGTCTCTGTATAATCTCCTTGTCTTTAAAAGGTTTTTTTCTTATACTATTGTACATAGTAAAATCCAATAAGATACAACCTGTTTAGACCATTGGAGACAGAAGAACAAAAGCTAGATGAGACTTCAAAACAAGATGGTACTAAATCAGCATTACCTATTAAGATGTCATTTTCTCCAAAAAAAGCTGTTCCTATCATCCAATCTTCTCTGTCTCATTTCTGTTGAGCTCTTTTTCTGTCAGTAGCTGTCAGTTTGTCTTCTTCGTTTTGGTCTCTGCTCTATTCGTTGTGGCCTCCCCGCCCCTATTTCTGGGTTCTTTGTATTTTTCTTTTTTTAGAATATCCTGCAATACTTTCTGTAGGGTTGGATTGGTGGTTGCAAATTCCCCCAGTTCCTCTTTATCTTGGAAGCACCTCGTTTTTCCATCAATTTCCAGGGACAGTTGTGCAGGATATCTCAATCTTGGCTGTAGATTATTATCTTTCAAAGCTTGAATTATTTCTCCCCATGCTCTTCGAGATTTGATGGTTTGTGAAGAGAAATCTGCTGTAATTTTGATGGGTCTTCCCTTGTAAGTGATCTGTTTCTTGTCTCTTACAGCTTTTAATATTCTCTTCTTGTATTGAATTTCTGGAATTTTTATTATTATATGCCTGGGTGTTTCTCTATTAGGGTTGTAGGTAGCTGGGGTCCTGTATGCCTCATACATTTGAGTATCTTTACCTTTTGCTAAATTAGGAAAATTCTCCTGGATTATTTCTGTGAGTAGCTTTTGTAGTTCACTTGTTTGTGTCCCTACTTCTTCTTTTATGTTCTTAATCCTTAAGTTATGGCTCCTCTTATCATCTTCTTGTCTTTGTATTATTGCTGTGTGTTTCTTTGTTATTTTTAAGAAGTTTTTCATTTCATTCTCCCATGTTTCAAGTCTGCCCTCCAATTCAGATAGTCTGTCCTTAGTTTCTTTCAAGCTGTTATGCCAGTCTTGGGTATACTTCTTGATTTCTTGATAGTCCCTTTGCACCTGCTTCACATACTCAATGCTTTCTCTGTTTTCTCCATCAAGCAATTCTCCCCTCTTTTTCTGTTCTTCCACTCCACCATCTGCTTTTTCCTGGGTGGTGCTTAGCATTTCTCTAACTATTCTGCATACTTCTAGCTTCAGGTCATTGATAACTTCATTCCTGAATTGGTCTATGAGGCTCTCTAAATGGCGCTTAATGTATATTGGTACAGTGTCCACTATTGCCTGATTCTCAGGATTGGGGGTCGAGGAGCCTTTTTTGTTGCTTCCCTTCCCCATATTTTCTGTTCCTTATAAAATGTAATCTTACACAGGAGGCCCGGCTTCCCTGCCTGTCAGCTACAGCTTGATCTAATTGCGCTGGCTAGTTGTTCCAGCTCACCGCTGCGCCCCAGGGAGTTGCGGAGGAGGCAGCCTACGCGGAAGTCGGTCGCTCCTCCGGGCCACCGTCAGGCTCTGGGATCTGGGCTAGGCCAGCCTAGGGGGTCCGCGAGCAGCGTCCCTCCGGCCAGGCACCTTTCACCAATCCCGTCCGAGAGGGAACCGTGCGGCTGCAGTTGCCACCGCGCCCTGTTCTTACAGGACTGCCCGCGCCCAGAAAATCCTCCGCTGGAGTCAGACTGCGGTAGGGAGTCAGTTCCTCGCTCACCTCGCCTCCAGTCAGCCTTCCTTCCTGTCCGTCGCGTTTCCGACTCCGTTCCCGAGCTCGGCGGTCGCGTCTCTCCTTGCTGAGCCGCTGTGGAGGTGGCCGGCCGCCGTGCGGCAGGAAATCCAAGCCGCGGTTTCCAATGGCGCGGAGTCGAGCCTCCACACCGAGATTTTTCTGTTCCTATTTTAGCGCCAGGACTGTATTCCAAGTTGGATTCTCTCAGCCCAGTTCGTTCCTGAGTCAGGAGAGCATATCTCTACTGGTTCGTATCTCCTTAGTCCGCATCATTCCTGGCCTCTGAGCCGAGCCTTTAGAGAGCGTTCAGTAGTTGCTGTTGTCTGTCCGCCATGTTCTCCAGAGTGTCTTTCTTTTTCTTTTCCAGTGAGGAATTGCTGGTAAAAGTGGTTTGCCTGTGGCGTTCAGAGTTATTATCTAGTAGAAAGAGCTTTGCACACTAGGGGGCCTGCTCAGCCCGCTTCTGAGCATGCTGGTGCCCAGTGGTAACCATGGTTTCCTGCAGGTTTGAAATTACTCTGAAACCTCACCCTGGCAGTGAACGGAGGGGGTCTGCTTGGAAGGAGGCAGCCGAGACTATGTGATTAGATTCAATTCTTCAAAACCTGGACTTGTAATTTGCAGTTTGATCCAACATTTTCTGAGTTACCCAGCAAAATGCTTACCTCATCCATGAAGTATATTTCATCATTTAGCTTTAAACCTTTGGAGCAAGGTGGTGTTTTTCTAAAGCAGTGGGTTAGACACCCAGGGCTTTTTGGGTTGAGGAAAAATACTATGTTTTTCAGTTTTTATTTTTTATTTGTGTGTGTTTGCAGTGCATGATGATTACATTCCTTGTATGGAGTTGGTTCATGTATATAACATATCTTAATTCCTTTTTCTCCCTTTCCCCAATCCCATTTTCCTCTTGGATCTCTTCCCTTTTGCAAAAGATCTTTCTCCCTTTTTTCTATGATTTGTTTCTTATTTTGCTCTTCATTTACCCTTCGAGTCTCTTATATAAGAGAAACCGTACAGTATTTAAGCTCATGCATCTGATACATTTCCCTGAACATTGTGGTCTCAAGGTGCTTCCATTTTCCTTTGAATAATTCAGTTTATGAGACACTCAGGCTTGTGAGCTCTTTCCTAACCGGCTGGGTGTTGAGAGAGATGATTCTGTAGGTCACTTAGTGACATCAGGTAAGCTCAAAGCAGCTGGGAAATGGGTAAATGCAGACAGGCTGTGGCTCATTCTCTGTTTATTATGTCCCTGGGACAAACATACCCAGGAACTGTCGTGATGTAGAGTCGATCTGCTGTACTTAGCCCCTAAACAGTAAAGCCTGGCTCGGATGGTGGTGCATAGTATAGTGTTGGTCAGTGGTTTTGGGGAACTTGCACTTCCTTCTGCTAGTGGGGTTCGTTTTCACCGAGACACCCACATCTTTGCTGTCTGCTCTCTGGGTGGCTGAGATATCATTGGTAAGGCAGGGTGTGGACCACTTTCTAACAGACTCAATGCCTGCTGGGTTTGACCTTGCTGATTGACCAAGGCGGGAATCAAATCCATGGTTTAAACTCTGATCAGCGTACAGTTTCCTCAGCTCAGTGTCAGAGAAATTGATTCTGACACGGAAAAACCAGTGAGCGTACATTAGGAATTTAATTGAGATTAAGAAAAAATCTTCCTGGCCCAATTCATTATTTATGTGATCTCTCTCTCTCTCTCTTTCTCTTTTTGATGAACCTAAAAATTTGACACTTCAGCATCTGTAGCATTCAAGGGAAACACTTGTCTTTGGAAGCACTATTTTTCTCAAATAAATAAAAAATACAATAGTACCAGGAAAGCTGTGTATTTCCTTCGGCTTGCCGTGGGTGGAATTTCCCACTAACCCCTGTCCCTTCGAGGTTATTCCTTTTCAGAATCCTGCCCAGGACTTGAGACCAAAGCAGCAAACCGACCAGGGAGCTGGTGTGTTAGCCAGATTCCCTAGGTCATGTGTAATGAAACGGCTTCAGGGCCTTCGAAAGCCACGTGTTCTTTATAAAGAATGTAAATGGGAGAATCAGTTTTGTTCTCTGCTTGTGTTTGAAGGAGGTCCTTGCAAGTCTATTGCTCGGGGAAGGTATCTTTCCCCAGAACCTGCACTCAACACCTGTCTGCCCTGGTTAAGAGTGCTTCTTCTTTTTCTTTTCTGTTTATTTACTTCGCCACTTGTTTTCTGAGATAGGGTCCTGCTATGTGGGCCTCAAACTCCTGCCTCAGCCTCAGCCTCCCAAGTAGCTGGGACTGCAGCTGCCACCCTGCTTCCCTCTTTTTCTTTAAAAGATCTTGAGTGCTTTACTCCTGCTTTTGCCTTTGCAGTGTGGACGTTTTCTTTTTTCTGCTTTTCATTTTACCATTTATTGTCACTGCTTTGTAATCATTCATTTATTCCTTCATGAAACTGGATCTAACGATACCTCAAGCATCAACTCAGATAAAATTCCATTTTATTCCTCCTGTATACTTAAAGATATCTTAAGTGTTCTATTCATTTTTAACTTTACTAATTTTAGTGTACTTCTTTCCAGACTTACAGGACATATCCACAAGCCTGTGGAACCTCCTCCACATACTAAACCAAAGTATTCTGTATTCGCATCTGTAATCCTATATTCCATCCCCAGTAACTTAGAGGGGGTAAAGCACTAATATTTTCTATCCTAATGCTAGCTATCATTCGTAGTCTTCATTTATCAAAACAGTGAAGTCTAACATTTCATCCTTTGAGTGAATGCCTCTCTGAATTCCAGTAGTTAAGTTTAGTTGCTTTAAAATGGATCAGAGACCAACCGATATAATACCCATTTACTGTCTTCGTCAACTAACCCTGATTATGTATTTCTATTAATTTTAACCTTTATACCCTTAACGACCCTACTACAAAATAAACTACTAACATGATGAGTCTTTGTAGTGTAAGTGTTAATGTGGTCTTATAAACCAAAACTGGGGCTTCAAAACCAAAACAAGAAGCTCCGAGCTCTATCATCTGCACCCAGAGCTGTAATTCTAATGAAACTATTTCTTCACCAATGCATTCATATTCTGTACCATTTTATAAACTTAATCTGTACTCTTCTTTACCTTATATACTTTGTGCATTATTGCATTGTAACAAATATCATCCATGTGTTGTGCTACATAAAACATACGTTATCAACATTAAAATAACAGCCCTATGCTTATATGCCAGTACGTAAAACTGGGACAATATATGACCATTAACTTACTAAAAAGCTGCCTGCTGTACCAGTCTCACTAAGTCACTAAGTTGCCCGGGCTGGACTCCAAACAGAAACATGATATGAAGAGTATGATTAAAATACTTTTAATATGAGGGCCAGGTCCTGGGTCTTTTAAAGGTTGTAACAGTAGTTTCTACCTGATGTAGTATCACTGACTTGATTTCTACTCAATTTGCATGACAGGGTTCACTGGGGTAAACAAGCAGCTTTGGATGAGGAATTTCTCCAACATTTCCTCTACGGTCTAGTGTATTGTGGGCATTAGGGATGCACAGTAAACCCCAACAGGTACTTTGTTCCAAAGAGTTGATCTTCTGGTCTAAAAATGCCACATGTGGCTTCAAAAGCTAGTGTGACCATCAGAAGTGACAAAAAGAATCTGATGTCCCGTTAGAGATTGTGTTCCCCATCCTATGCTGTCCTCTGTTAGCTGGGGGCCTGTTCTCAGGAAAGGCAATAATAAAGTCATGTACAGGTTCCTAACTTGATGATACAGTGCTTGCTTTTCATGTCGTGAACATGTACCTGATTTCAGGCCCTGACCAAGGTGTGTGTATTGCAGGTCAAGTTTCGACAGAAGAGCCCAGCGGGGTTTGCAGAGCCCACCGTGAAGCCTGTCTCTGCTGGCTACCCTCCAGGAAGGAGCACCACCCACAGTCCCAGGGACGGCCCCAAAACCAGGGGCAGCCTGCTTATCCCCACCCTGGACGCCAGGCCTGACCCCCCGAACAGCGAGAATTGTCGGGTCCAATGAAGGGAGCCCTGCTTCAGGACCCCAGAGAGGTGACAGCGGTGGACAGAGTGACAGAGAAATGTCCAAGGACGTTTCTTCATCAGGGAGCACGTTCGCACTCCGGAGCAAACGCCTCTGGGATCTCAGTACATTTTCCCCCTTAGCGTCCCAGGTGTAAAGGGACAAATTTGCAAGCACTGATCCTCAGGGCCCTCCCCTGTGGGCCTCTACCATAATGTAAATAGTCCTGTGTAAAGCTTTCTGGTGTGTTACCATTGAAAGGCAAGAACTGTGACAACTTCTGTTTGCGTGCGGATTCTACATGTTTTAAACTTTCACTTGGCAATTTCTAGCAAAACTGAAACCCTCCTTTATAATCTTTCCTCTGTGTATGCAGTGTCAGACATGCAATCATTTTCGATTGGAAGTTTCTTTGAGCTGAGTGAAATGAAGGAAAAGCCTGTTTCATGTGTCACTGCTGCTTCTAGAACCTGTACATATGTGTGTGCTTTTTCCAGTTCATTGTTAGACGTGTACCGTGTTATACTTTCTGTCATGTTTTGTCCTTAAGACCGTTTTATTTCTTTGGTGTGCATTTTCTTATCTGGTGATATAGTATTAAAACAAGGCCTTTTTTTTTCTAATAAAAAATCACTTTTTTCTTTGTAAAAATGTTTCCTAAATACAAAAGGTATTATGAATATTGGCACCATTTCTTGTTAGTGGGGACAGCCTCTTATGAAAGCAAAAATGCTTGAGCAGATGACAGAGATGTTTGAAATATCCAATATTAGTATATTTAGTGAACAAATTTAGTTATATTAAAAGACACAATTTAGAATGTTGATTGTAAAGATTATTTGAGAACAAGACACGTCTAACCAGTGCTTCGTATGTTGTATATTCTGTTAAGTCACCTTAGCCAGGATGCAAGTATGCGATACCTCCCAGCTCTTTGTATCGATAGTATTTTCAAAATATGCAGGCATAATGTACCATATTGAATCCCAAAACACTTGAACAAACCCTCACGTCCTTGGAGCAGGGTAAAAAAGTTTTTCAGGATCTGATTTATTAAAAGATAATTTGTTCTTGGCTTTCAAGTTAAGACTGATGCTTGGACCTTGCTAAACATCATTTTATAATTTAAAATCCTGCTTTGTAGGGAGGCCTCTGTCATTGGATAATGTTCAAGTCTAGTGAGCTGTTCAGTATTCTCTTCTTGAAAGCAATTTTCGCTTTGCTCTTAATTCTTCAGTCACTCCGAGTTGAGGTCAGTGCAGACCCTTATCGTAAATTGTCCCAAGGTTGTCACATGCCTGGGATGGAGACTGGGCAGGCTGGCTGCTGGGACAGTTCACCCCACGCCTGGCTGGGCAGTTCCTTGGAGGGATCCCTGTGTTTTCATAGGTGTGACTGCCATTGTTCCTGCTTTTGCTACTTCTGTGTCTGAACGCAGTGGTTGGACCCCTTGCAGAGTGCAGACTCCACCAAGGCAACCAGGAGATGAGAGAGAAGCTTCTAATGGGAGCAGCTAAGGAGAGGGAGTGTTAGGCTCACTCTCAAAGCAGAGCCTCTGCCAGAACCAAGCAAGCAAGGAGCTGCTGGTGGGGAAACTCACACGCATGCTCATATGGAAGCACTGTCCGGGCTCCATGTGGGCATATCCCCAAGCATGGCCAGTTTCATCTCATGCTCCTTCATAGCTTGTTCAAAAATAGCAGACCGAAAGTCCCAGGTGGAGATGTTAGCATTATACTGTAATATGTGACACTGCTTTATGTCACCCAGAAGAGGGGCTGGGTGGCTTTGGCTGGTTTAAACTGGTGCCGTGTAGTCTTTTTTCTGTAGGACGTCATCTAAAATTAACAAGTAGGTTGGAACCATCATTTAAAGGGGTATCAGATCTTTCCCTGAAATGATAGATGTGTGCCTGTAAAAGGACCTGCCTAGTGGCTAATGCTTTTATTTTTATAATTGTAGGACCTTGTTCAAAATCTTTATTTAAAAATAAACATTGATTATTCTTTTCCTCAAGCTGTCAGTACTTGTGATTCTATTAGCTGAGCCTGACACGAGATGAAAAATAACTACACTGCATCCCCTGCTCCCAGTTGCTTTCTAAAGTGGTTGAGTCACAAGACCCCAGCTGGCAAATCACATGGTGAAAGAGACCGGATCCAGAAACCAGGAATCCGGTTCTCATCTGTTTATCAAGGGCTGGATTGAAATGGTGCTTCTTCCTCAAACATTCTGTAGGAATTGGCAGTCCCTGTTGTAGTCAGGGGTTGTGAGGACAGTTACAACCAGGACACAGAATTTGTAATGTTTTATGATGGTCACAAGAAAGTGCAGGAAATCTGTCCGCAACACTAAAGACTCAGAATATTCAGCCAAGGGCCTGGATCCCACAGCAGTGTCCTGCATGAGTCCAGATGAAGACCTAGAGCCCATGACAATGCCTCCAATGAGTCCAACTGAAGGTCCAGAGCCTTATACAGATCTGCTGGGAAGGCCCAAGGTCAGTGGTGGAAGCCAGAAAGTCTATGCCAGTGGGGTGAAGGAGCTGTGCCAGAAGGTTGAGGGTTCTACCCTGGAGCTGAGAAGTCATGCTCGTAATAAAGACCAGGGCTTCCCTGAAGTGTACCACAACCATCCTCAGTGACACGGAGGTTCTGAGCTCCTCTAACGATGTGACAGTCAAACACACACCAAAAGCCAGTGTGACAAGCTTCTGGGGATTAAACAGCACACATCTTCCTCTCTGGAGCCAGGAAGCAATGCTCGATGTAAGGACAGAGCTCCCCCAATGTGAACCACAGCCACTCTCACCAACAAGGTCCCAAGCTCCTCTGATGATAATGGTCAAACTCAATATATTGAGTTCGTCATGATCAGTTCCTCCAGAACCAATGGCTCGAACCAATATTTAAGAGAACCCACACCACCCTGCTCTGCTCTCCACATCTCTATTTGTGCTGGCAACTTTCCTCAGGTGGCCATCTACGCTCAGCACCACGCTGATGTAGTTCAGCTGGCATTAAGTTGACCATCAGTTTTTAATCCATAGCAGCCTCTTTGTGTTATTGGTAGTTGTCAGAACTGACTGCATCTTTAATACGAGGGAAGTAAAAACTAATATTTAAATGCAGCCTGATTTGTTAAGAGTTAACCCTTCTCTTCTGTCTACCTCCCTGCATGTCTTTGAGGTTTTTGCTTTTTCTTATTTGACCTCCATTTATTTGTTCTCTTGGAATTTTCAAATTGTAAGGTGTGTTCAGATTTGGGAAGAACTTAGGGTTCTTTCCAAGAGGTCTGGGAGGGTCCCCCTCCTCCACTTCCCTAATGTTTTGATTCTGTCGTGGGCCTCTATCTGATTTCAGGTTCACCTACTCAGAACATTGATGGTTATTTTAGAATTTCCTAGTTCTTCCCCAATCCCTTGGGCTACGGCAGCACATCATGAGAAAGGTTAGCAGCCAAGCCATGGTGAGTTCTTTCAAGTCCTAGGTTTATTGCACTAGTCGGAAGTTGGGTTGATCACTAGTGTGGTTTGCATTCCCTTGTGGATAGAGATGCAGTGGTTTCTCCCAAGTGCCTGGAATTGGTAACCACTGTGGCTCATCCCAACTTCTGTTCACCTAAGCGGCCTTTGCTTTGGAGGAAGGGGTTCCAGAAGAAGTTGGCCGTTGTCATCAGAAAAACCTGAGGAGCTAAAGCTTGTGTCTTCCCCAGTACAACTGTGACTTGAGTGTCCCTACTTACTGAGCTGTGGCTCCCAGATCGGGGGAGATATGGTTCAATAATTATAAAGTGCAAAGCGAGGATTCTCTTCATGGGATGCGAGATGAAAGGAGCTGAGAGCTGAAGTATTTGTCCAGGATATGGCAGAAGTGAGGTTTGAGCTCTGCTTCATAAACGTGGACCTGTTCCTGTTTGTCTTCAAGGTCCTTCTGACAATGTCCACACGACAGACGACAGAAGCAGCCACCTCTGAGCAACGGGACACCCTGAAGTCTGCATGATGACATCTGATCTGTGTTGCCGATACTGAATTTTCAGAATATAAAAGAGATCAGCTATAAATTTCAACTCAAAGAATTGTAGCTACTAAAAAGGCTTAAGCATTATTAAATAAAGGTAAATCTTTTTAAAGAGTCTGTATTGGAAAACCAAAGTCTGAAGATTTGTAAGGCTTTGACTGCACAAATTTAGTATTATGTGACATTACAGGTGAAAGCTGGTGGTCAGAATGCCCTGATTCCCCCTTTGATGTTGAGTAAATTACTTCTTTGTGCTCAAGTTTAGCTCATTGGTAAAATTGGGTATAATAATAATACCTCTAAGAGTCCTCATAGAGATTAAATTGGCTAATTGTTTCATACTTAACTGTCCTTATGAATTTGTGCTTTGTAAAATATTACTCAGTATACAGTTATTGCATGAATAGTTTTAAAAAGTATTGCAGGTTAAAACTTAGATAAGTCTGTTCTTCCGACACAATGCACTAATTTCAGGTCAATTTCTGTCCTACAAAATTCTCACCAATCTCATCGCCATGAATACTTATTTTTCAAATAACGTTAATCACTGTAGATTTGTACATCTTGTTCAATTACTGGTCATTTGCTTTAGATGGCTTTTTGTTTATTTGGCTCATTAAAAAGACCCAACGAAAACAATTACAGCGATTTTACTGACAAATGAGTTATGGTCCCAGAGTTCCAAGATAAATTGGTTGTTTGCAATTCAGACTACATTGCTTTAGAGAAATAAAATCACAAATTGTGCCTACATCCAAGCCCAGAAAGCCAACTTAGCTCATAAGATGTCAAAAAGGCAATTAGATTTGTTTCAACTACTCAAAGCCTCCATTTGTAGCATGGTTTCTCTGGCACAATCTATTTTAAGAGTGAAGTTTTCTGAAGCTCCTTTTCCTAACCCTGAACTATTTTTCCAGGGTGGCTCACTCTGTGATAGGGAAGAGCAGTTGTCGGTGGTGGTGGTGGTGGTGGTGGTGCTCAGGACAGAGTTAGGATGTAATGTCCTGTCTGACACCTCTCAGACAGCAGCGGCTCCTTGTCTAAAGAGAAAGTGATGGCGTTGTGTTGGCTCAGTGCTGTATGCAGGTGAGCACAAGTACAGCTTTGTAAACTTCACTTTCAGATTTTGTTCCAGCCCACAAATTCCCCACCAGCCTCCATCCCCAGAATCCAAATCAGCAGATGGGTAAGATTACTATACGCCTTTCCTTCTTCTCTAGGATATCATCTCAATGAGCAGAGGGTAGTGTGTAAAAATACATTCGCCAAAGCAAGCACTTGCATTTGGTATTAAATAATCCTGGGAAGTCTCAAGAAGAGACTTAAGTGGGTTAAGTTTGTGTCAGGACAACTCAGGGTGCTGTGGTCTCGAACTCCCCACTCAGAGCTGGTTGTATTTTACCACCCACTTGTCTGATGGGAGTAAAAGGGACTTAGTCCACTAAGAAGCAACTGCAGGTCTGGTGGGCTCCTTTCAGAATTCCATTTTGAACAGAGTGGGGGACGTTTTCTTCAGGTAGGGATTAAAGTAGGAAAATTTGCTTTATTTTACTTCATCTAACCTGTGGATGTAGTTGGAGCCATGGCAGTCAGATTCCCACCAAAAAGTCTATTATTGTGAGCACAGGGGGAATTTTACTTCTAGCTTTGTTTCTTCCAATGCTGCCTTTGCAAGGGGTAGGAGAATGGGCAGCCTTCCAGGAACAGGCCATGTAGAGAACGGTGGGATGGATAGTTCTGAGTTTTAGGTTTGCTGGATGTTGAAGTCGCAGCTGCGTTATCTAACAGAGTCTCTCCTGGCCTGGTGCCCATCCCTCCTGCTGGACCTTGACCCTGGGGCAGGCCATGTGAGGGCATGCTTTGTCCTGGAAGCTGTGTTTGTTGCTTCAATGGTCATCTTCTTGGACTTAAGCCAACAGAGGGCAGGGAGGGTGCCCTGGGTGAACCCACAGTGCTTTGCTCCCTGCGTGCTAATTATGCACAGCCCCTATTCTGTTCCTACACATTGACCTGGCAGCGACCTTCCTTGGACGTGCGGGGAGGAAGAGATGTGTCCCTGCTCTGATTGGATCATAGGCAGGGTGAGTGCCAAGACCATTTTTCTTCTGAAATAGCTGAGGCTTGGAGCAGACAGGTGAGCTCCATCTTGATTTTGCCCAGCTGTGTTTTCAGAGGTTGGATACTCAGACTGTGAGACAATCAGAGACTTCTTTCCATGAGCGGTTATCAGGTGCTCTCAGATATGCACAGACCCTGTTTTCACGGCACAACTAACAAACAGGATGCCTGACATTCCTAGAATTCAAAACAGGTTTTTAGTGGGAAGATTCCCTGCAAATCCCACCTACCGATCTGTTGTGATAAAAACCACAAACTCAAATTAGCAGCCTAAATCTTGTCCAATAGGTGTGATGAATTTAGGTCTTTTTTACCTTTGAATGTGTCATAAGCACAGTAGGAAAAGTGTGCTTTTGTTGTTGTGGAAGAGTCTCATGCACAGATTGTCATCAGTGAAGAGATGCTACAATGCTGCTTGACCTCAGCATAGCCATTTGGAGAAGTTATCCACACACAGGGCAGTTCGTGCTGTGACAAATACAACAACTATCTTTCTGGTGGCCACTCTTACTTCCTGTCTTGTCAGCAGAGCCTTGTTTTTTTTTTTTTTTTTTTTTTTTTTTTGTCTTTTTGAGACAGGGTTTCACCGTGCAGTTCAGACTGGCCTTGAGCTCACTTTGTAGCCCAGGCTGATCTTGAGCTCATAATGTTCCTCCTGCCTCAGCCTCCTGAATAGCCTCACTTTTGTTCAGCTGTTGGGGAGGGGGAGAAGGGTAATGAGGTAGCCAGGGCTGGCCAACCATTAGGGCCCTCTCTGCCAGTGAGTGATTATCATGGGCATCCTGCACTAAAGCAGAGACTAGAAATAAAGCGTTTCCGAACATTGAGGATGCCAGGTCCGAAAGATGAGAAGAAACCGGATCCTTAATAATTCGG